TCATCTTCATTCTTATTCCCCACTTTACAGAATGTGCACTGTAAAAAATATGTGTTCTTAACTTTATGATTCCTCTACTATACTCCTAACTGGTTTTATAATACGACCTATTAATTATGTATGTGACTTAAGTATTATAGTGTTATTTGCTGATTGTTCAAAGCGTCGTTTAATGTTGCCAATTGTTTTTTTAAAAATCTCGCCCATCTCTTGGAGTTTTTTCGAAAGAATTACTTTAGGGTCTACCATTTTTCGAACCGAGCTTTGAGATCTCCAGCATGGTGCCTATGATCAATAAATAAACAAATAAATTCTAATATAATACATATAATATATAATGATTTTCTATACATGTATAATAAATAATTTAGGCTTTGTCAGAAGAACATGGGAGTATATAAAGGTAAATGAAATTGTATGTGTATCGAGTTGCGAGGCTTGTTAAGATTATAGTAGGAAACAAAAAAATTTTACTTACCGCATCAACAAGGAACACGGACAACATAAGAAGACTGATAATATATCCAAGTAGTTTAATATTCATGTTGAAAAAAGAATTGTTTGTAATATCGTATGCGAGTCTGTTCTGGAGTATTCCAAGGCTTGGGTTTTATTGACGATAAAACTTTAAACGAAAGTATTGCTCAATTCACTTTACCACTTTTATATCGGTTCAATAATTTAAAACAGAAAGATATTCAAGAAAAATATTGGTATTATAATGCAATCCAGTTGCAATAGAAACTTAAAAAAATTAAATATATTAGATGTTGAATTAAACAATATTTTCTCGTATAGATACAGAATATGTAGATATTATTATTATGTATGCTTATTATAAAATAAATTATTTTAAATAAAGTTTCGTATTGATAAGATTGCACAAGATTTTTCTTTGTACAAGAATCTCTAAGGTGGGTGATAAAAATATTTACATAATAAAAATATTCCGACACGGTTAATAGTCTTGTTTACAGATAACAAATAATGTATTGTTAAAAATATTTCAAAATAAAAACGGTTAAATATTATGCGATAAAGTAAGAACATTGTAAGTAAAATACGTAATGTATATATGTTATAGGATAATTTTGAGTGCATAGACGTACAATTTATGAATATAATACGGTAGCAAAAACAAAGGCAGGTAGTTAATTTACGTGTAATTTATTTCGTTATTGTAAACTAAGGAGAGTTTTACGTAGTAGATTTAGTTGATAACCACTCGTTCTTAATGACTATTCAAGTGTGTACTAGTTAATATGACGTAAAAATATATTAAACATATATAAATTTTCTAAAGCTTGAAAATGAAGATACAAGGAGAACCAAGAGAGTCCTTAAATACAGAAATAATTTTATTTTTTTCTTGTATGCATATAAAGTATTTTTGTCTTATACATTTATATCTATCAATCAATTCTATGTAATTTATTGTGAGATACAAATGTCTCTGTTCCTTATTACTTCTAAATGCCATCATTTTGATTGATTCTTAAAACACAATATCAATGAGTTAATAAATATTAAATATTACTTGACTTTCTCAAATATTTTCAAGTTGACTAATTAAACACAATGATAGGGCATTATTTTTCAGTATAAATCTCTAATAGTACTTTAAAAATGGGAATGTACAAAAAATATCAACGAACAAGTTAGGTATAGATTTTATAAACTAGTTAACATCATGTAAAAATATTGGAACGCAAGTTGTATGATGATCGTAATTCTCAAGTGTATTGTTGGGAGGTGTGAGACATGTCTTAATACACTCTAATCTGGTTTGGAAGTTGTTCTGGTTTCCTCCGCACCCAGAATACATTCGACATCTACAGGTCCTGTAATGCAGTATAAACCATTATAGTTTTATAAGTCATCTCACTAATTTATTACTTGAATTTATTGTATGTAATATCAGATATAACAGATATTATGTGATCATAGGTTAAATATACTTTTGGTTGTTAAAAACATACTTAGTCAGTGGATCCCAAGCAAAACGGTTGAAGTGACCAAAACAATTTCCATAATCAAATGTAAGTTGACAGAAGTGAGGTATTGTCCCTGAAAAGAAATACCAAGACAAATAAATAATGGTAAGTAATTACTGAATATTTAAGATATATATTTCATAAGCAGAATCACTCTTTTCCTATGGGATAGAATCATTATATAATCTAATATATGATTATATATTTATATACAAAATTGTGTTACTTAACTTTTCATTGATTTTCTGTCTAAATGACAGTGCTTCTTACACTCATCTTCAGTTTCAAATTTGTTTCCATTTCCCTGACATCCTCCCCAATAAAAACGAAAACATCTTCCTTGTTTTGCATCATAGTACCATTGGAGAATATCTGCCCGACATGGTCCAGTGTCCGGCCTCAGTAAACAAGACTTGTGTGATGCTGGAAATCATAAAATAGAATACATGTACAAGTTAATTACAGAATAATGACATGTGTTTTTTGTATAAATACTAATGTTTGGCTTCCTAAAAATATATATATAACAGTGTTTACCTTGCAATGTCCTGTCCATTCTCAAACAAAATTTTTGTGAACCAACTTTTGATTTTACATTAAACTTGAATAGTTTTTTCCTTTCTTTACATTTCACTACATACATTATAATTATGCCCAAAATGATTGTGAGATATATAATTTTTAAAAGATTTTTATACATATTATTCAAGTACATTTTGGTACACTCAAGTTTACACCTATTATTTTTATATAATATAATCATAACATTTTTACTACAAAGAAAGTTGAATTGACTTACGTATTTTATTGCATTTTGTTTCCAGATTTAATTTAAACTTACCTGGTTAATGGCACTGAAATCAATCCCATGATACTTGAAACCACGTTAGAAATAATTTATTCACTATTATCAATCTAATATAAGCCTACAGGATAGTTGATAATTAAAAAATATAGTAATTACTATTTAATTATGTAGTTGGATAGTATTTATATTACATTTGGCATTTGACATTAATAACAGATAACTTTCAATATCAATGACACTATTTTAATCGGAACGTATTTTTATATTATTTCTTTTTAGTATAGTAAGTTGACAAAAAATATATATTTCTTAAAAAATAATAGAATAAGAAATAATTTTTAATATTTTTAATTCTCTAAATAACCATAGTTCCTTTCCAAACACTTACAACTCAAAGAATAAACGAAACGTCGATCAGATATACGTTGGGTGGGGTGCATGTGTGCTTTTTGCTTGTGGTTTAGCGACCCGGCACCGGGATATATCCTCTATGCATTTTATTCTCTCCGGACCTGTCTCATGTTCTGAACGTCACATTAATATTTTCAATGTAGAGTTCCAAAACAAAGAATATTATTTTTGTTATTATTAATAATAAATATGCCAAAATGTTAAAAACAAAAAGGTTTTTATTTGTACGAAAGTTTTATAAATTATTAGTTTTATTTAGTGAATGTGCGTTATAAATAAAGTTAAATACGTATTATTTTTTAACATTTTATTCCTCGAATTTTCATTATGATTATGAATGACTTAGTGTTCCTCATTTTTTGTTTAAATTATATTTGTTACGTTACTGGTGCTGATTCTGGCGAGAAGGTAAATATTTTCAATATATTTTTAGTTAATTTTATTTTAAGATCACTGTAAATTAAAAATAAACGTAATATCTTAAGAATATATAACTTATCTCATATAGTTTGTAAACATCTAATAGGCTATCTATATTGCCAATTTAAACTTAACTGCTTGATATTGCTGCAAGTGCATTTGATTGATGTGACAGGTTGTTCTATACTATGATAATTATGTATACAATATAATAAATTATTTATACACGTTGGGAAAAAATTAGTGAAATCTTACCTTTTAGGGCTGTATTTTGATTTTAAAATGCGTATTATTTGATTTATAGTCTTATTAGTCTACGAGGTACTCAAAAAACATTTCTGAGCCACATATACGAGATATCAAATATAAATCAAGTTGCTATAGCATTAAAGTTGAACATATACAAAACAAAGCTATAGTTACATAGAAGTATAAAAATAATGTATGAAACATTTTTTGGTCCTACCACGCAAAAATCTACGATACGCAACTCTTAGTTTACATTTATGAATAAATAATTTGTTATATGTCGGAGATTTGTTTTACTTAAAATGAAAAAATATTAATTTAGGAGAGTTACCTTCACATTTAAGATAGCTTTCAGATGTAAAATAATAGTGATAGAAAGTGATAGAAATTAAAAATAATAAGAGAATACCAAGCAATTATAATCAAGTGATTATAATACTAAAAATCAATCAAAACATTCTAATTCAGCAATCATGAAATTTGATTGTGCTATTAAAAGATCGATATCCTAATAATAGTTATTGTCAAAGAATTGAAAGTAAGTTAGTCGTAAGATATTTTCTTTTTCCGGATAAGTTACACTACCGAAAAATATTGGCAACAAGATAAAACCTTCACTTAGCTACCATTGTTGTGGACTGAATATAAATGCATACTTTTATACACATTTGTTATTGGAAAAATTGTTAAGCGTCTATTTAATAATCTATTCACGTTTCTAATACTTTCTTTTATTATTCATCCAAATGAACGTCTTTCTTTTTATTATATCTTATTAACAATAAAAACCAGTTACTTTAATTCAAATTCGAGAGGAAGGTCAGTAGCTCTGCAGGATCTATTAACCGATTTATTATAATCATCTAAAAGAAACGAGACGTAACATAACAGTTGATTCGATTCGAGCCGCAGCTGTTTATTTTAAGCGAATGTATTTAGAACAGCGTTTTCACAACTATTGTTTTTATCCTTACCTGTTGGGTGTAAGATGTTGAACAATGCGATATTGTAAAGCTTTTGAATGTAACTTTACAACTTACTGACAATGAGAAGACTCTTATAAATTAAGTGAATGTTGGACTATTCTCAATGATTTGTTGTTATAAACATCAAAGCATATGGTAAGAGTACAGCCCTTAATACGTCCACTACAGTGACTCTTACATTAATTGTGATGTGAAGAATGAAGTATTGTTTATAGCCCAATGCGCAAAGCGAGACCTGTTACCATCGCGTGGCGGCGTGTGAAGCAAACACCGGTGCCGTAAATCGTCCAGTCTGCGGCTCCGACGGACATAACTACCCTTCAAAATGTCACTTAATGAAGGCGCAGTGCTCAGGAGAACCTATTGTAATGGCCCACAGAGGACCCTGCACAGGTGAGCCTTAATATCATGTTTGATACTCATTGAAGCTCTAGCGGTTTGTTATAAAAATTATGTGCTCTATCTTATACTGTTTCTATATAATAAATTAAATCTTTGCTTAAAAATATACATATAAACTTTCACATTTTTAATATGTTAATAACAGATGAACGATTCACGTAAAGCCAACTCTTAATTCTAATGTTAGATGATTTTATATCGATTTTACAATAAAAGCCTTAGAAATTGTTTCCATAGTAGTGAAACCTTTTTTAATCATTGAATTTCTATTATTTCTCAAACTAAAATGTCATCTTGCAAAAAAGTTGAGAAGGTTAGGATAATGCTTATAGAAACATTATCATGTTGTTACTTTTCTCTATTTTAATTACATATTTCTTCCTTGTCTTATAATAATTATAGATATTCATGTAAGTTACAAGCTTTTTGCGAAGTACGTGCTATTAGTATCCTAAGTTAGGTGTTTATAGTGGAATAAGGAAGTATAACAATTATTTGAAATTGACCGTAATTAGGCTACTTTTTATGGTTTATATTCATCTGGTTATAACAGTATATCTGGTTATAACAGTATAACCAACCACACCTTGTCCTGGCTAAATGTCTGAATGATATTCTATCACCAGACAGTCAAACTTCATGTATGGCGGTGCTGCGTTATGCATTGAAACAAGGCGGTCGTCGTGCCACATTTGTGCCGCGGTGCCGCGCTGACGGCACTTATGCCGCTGTGCAATGTGCCGCTGCAGGTGCAGCAGCTGGCTGTTGGTGCGTCACCGCCGACGGGAAACCTCTGCCCGATACAGCTGTGAGGAACGGAAGGCCAGATTGTACGAGGACTGGTGAGCAAAAAACAATATGTACCTACTTTGTTATTAATAACCAGTGAAAAGGAAAAATTCCTTTGCTTATTTTATATAAATTTTTAGTCTAAACAAATAATTTAACAGTCTAAATGAAAAATATTTTATTATAAATGTTGAGTTATTGTCGTGAAAATATTTAGAAAGTAAATAGACTATGAAAAGAGATAATAATTTTTACAATCTTAAATTACTTAAAGCGTACATAATCAACTATCATGCAATATGAAAGAGGAAGTTTAAATGATGTGACCTAAAGACAAAACTAGTTACCAAAATAACCCTTTTTTATAATCATAAGTCAAATTCAATTTTAAATCGGATGTCTTCAACTTATTGCGTAGATTTTTTCAAAGCTGAGATCGATAACAAACATTAAAATGAAACAAAATAATCACAGTAGTGCTTTAAAGACTGTGGATGAATAATTTTTTTTAATTATTCACAATGATTATGTTTTATCCAATGCTGTGCGCGGTTCTAATCGTAAAATAAACTAGCGAAATAATGTTTGACTTAACGTTGTGTTATAAAAATAAGTCGAGCACTAACTACAGAATCTCTACTAAAAATAAACTATCAATACTAATATATTAAAAATCATAACAGAATTTACAAGAAGCGATTTGTTCTCATCCGGATTCAAACCATCTGTTCGGCCTTATGTTCATTGTAAATAAAGTTCTCAACATTTATAAACATTTCACTAGATAAAAGCCAACGTTTATTTTGTATAAAACATTTCTCTGAACATCGCCGTATTACAAGAAATCACCTGTGAAACCATTACCTTTATAATAATTCCATCAAAAATATACGATAGTGAACAAATCTTGCTATATAGCAAAATTAATTCAATATCCGTCGGTTATCTACAGGTTTGATAAATCACGAACCTGGCGCCAAATTTCTGTTTTTCGTCTTCTAGTCCAAACGATTAAGTAGTTGTTTATAAATTGTTGCTTGCAAGAAAACAGATTCCGCTTTAGATTATTTCTAGAAATAGTTTGGGAGAAATTCTTAACATTTTTATACAGAATGGAAATATGTGTTGTGAAAATGTTTTTTCTTAAAAATATAAACTACACGGAAGATGTTTGTCTTAATAAAGAAATGAAGCATTCCCGCTCGTATCACGACAATGATCGAAATAAAAGAATAAATCATTTTATTTCTAATTTGATACAACTTTTGTAACATAAATTCCTCAATCAGTTAATTGCCTCATAGTATTTGTTTCATATTTGCGCGATGATTTTAAAATCGTAATTTTACTTCATATTTATAATGATTTAAAATTATTTGAAATTAAAATAAAGAATATACAAATAAAAGTTTTGCCCTACATAGATACCGCTTTTAATTTATCCGTCTACAAACATTTGTAGAAATTTATTCTTATTTATAAACAAAGATTATTATTTATGTCAATACAGAATACACAATAAGTGAATGCTATTTAAAATTTCCGTTAGAATAAAGCTAAATAATTACAACCACACTAATAATTTCAATAATTTATTACTAAAAAGTATTACGCACAAAAACGATAAAAAATTACAATTAGTTGTAAGTAGTTTCAGATATTATAGTACTATATTTTTTTATAAATTATTATAACGAGGTATAAAAGACCGGATTTCACAATCGTAAATTTCGTGACTTCCTCTATTTAAAGGCAATCAATATCCAAATAAATTCAACAAATCGATAGTATAATTTTAATTTAGTTCTTCGTATTGATTTACGAGTCTGAAACATTCCCTTTCTCTTCGTTGTATAAATATATAAGTGCACGCTATTTCACGAGTACCGATTTCACACAGGTTATTATGAGGTATAATCATTATTCTTATTAAATTTCAATGGAAATCATGTATTTGTTTCCATCTGTTTAATTCAGCTAAAGTTATCTGAACCGTAAAGTCGCAATTGTACTATTGATTTCAACTTGTATGTGCTTTTATGTATCTGTAAGTGAGCAACTGGAGTCAAAAGCGGAAAACGGTCATCGAGACTTGTTTACAAAGCAGTACTATTATCAAATTAGACGACATTGATAGGGATCATATGAACGAACGATGGTCACTCACTTTAACCTTCCGTTATTATATACAGCTATACCTATATTACAGCTAAGTTTTGATTATATCTTTCCATAATTTTATATACATACTTTATACAGGAGACGATATTTTATGGTAACTTCAGTAGAGCAGTCGGGTGGTATTTTTTATTTTTTGAGTATGTAAATAAAAGATTAGAAAAAATTTATTATACCTGTAAGCTTAATCAAAATTCTTTGATAGAATAAAGTGCAGAATGAAATCGCCTCAGGTCTAAACTTATTGACCCACGCCTGTTTTTACCTGAGTTTATTTTTATAACAAACAGTGGTTTCTTTTTAAACTCTTCGTCAAATAAAATCAGACCCTGATTCATTTTACGCGAAGCTACCGGCGTCCTTTTTTTTCAAGAATTCTAGAATGTAGAATGTCCTGTTTGCCTGCAAAAAATCCCATAACCATATTGGAAGACCACACGTATATATTGTAAATTTAATGGGTTCATTTTGAAATAAGGAGATCTCTAAAACATTTGAATATACTTTACATGATAATGATAAAGAATATAACGGTCTTAATTCTAGACATAATTAGAGATTACGGCGAGATTGTAAAATTTTACGACATCAGAGAAGACATTTTATATTGTAAGTATGCCGCGAGTATTGATGTCTGTTTTATATGGCGACGAAATGTTATAAGGATAGAATTCATGACTAGTTTGAAGAACTGCGGGATGGCCGTCCCTTACAAGGTAGCCCAACCCCATGTCTGGTTCTTCTGTGAGTAGTCTCTGGAGTTATTACAATATTTAACCAATAAAAGAAATTAAAATATCTACCGTCGAAGAATTCGTATTTCTCTAAAAACGGACTTCTGCTAGTATTAGTACCTTACCTATCCCATATGAAATTCATAATAGAAGTGTTCTCATGACTAGTTATGACTTAGGATAGTTTGTAGCAACGATCATGAAAGGTCTAAATGGAATTATGTTGTTTCTTATTCTGAGCACGAGTGCGATGGTATCGGAGCGCATCCGTAATAAATGGCTGGACAGTCGGGAATATGAAATAACTTGATAAACAAATAGTTCAAGCCATTGATAAATAATTTATATCTGAATTATTCAAGGCAAATTCATATGCTATGCCAAAAGTGCTAACCACAATGCAGTGATGTTTCAATATACCTTTCTACGGTAATATGTACTTCACAGTTGAATTAAGTATGCTGCATTGTTGGATGTTGGCTTCAATACCATGTTATGCATCTAATCATGCTTAAAGCTCACAATTTTCATTTTATAAAATAAAAATTTCGTGGATGGACCTCCTTATTGAACATTGAAAAACTTTACTTTTTTTAGCTGGTGCAATAATTTAGTAGCACAGCATTCATTGTAATTATTTCATAAGTCAATAATAAACTACGCCGTCTCATTTTAGAGTTTTTTTTTAAAAGAATCATCATCGAGACACTTTTTTTAAATGAATAAGAATCCCCATTCCTCTGCCACAATTATATACAACTAATTAATTGTTTTAGCATAAGTCCTTTGTCGAATATTTTTAATTATTCTCTAATCCGTAGATTTAGATTTCAACCAAGATTTCTATTATGAATTTTTTTTTTTTTGACCTAATTAAATTGATTTCATTGTGACAAAACGGACATAAAATAAATTCAACTGCTAGTAAGACGACATCCTCATTATACAATTCAACTTGGATTCAATTTTGATAATCTTTTTTAAATGCTATCTAAATTCGACTAATTTTATTTTTTAAGATCAAGGTGCCGGTTAGACAGAGTGAATCATTTTAACTTTTCAAGTTTGTTTAAGTGAATCATTTTTGTGTGTTGAGAATCATAAATCTTAATTTTATCCATTTATCCATTCGTAAGTTCTCCAATCTTTGTTGCAAATAAGCTTTCTATAAATATGCAAGTATTTTTATGAAAAGAATGTTAAAAACAGGGGAAATGGGAAAAGAATTAATAAAAAAAATATGTATAACAGTTTAATAACTTAGTAGTAAACATATTTCTCTTCAAATATATCATCAATTCATAAAGATACGTATTACTTTATATTAGTGAAATATTTAACACCCTACACATTTAATTGCGGGGCTGGCTTTGTGAGATCGGGTTTTCTAAGAAACGACGGACAGACAGCTCGACGCCGTTTTACAAAGGAGTCCTGTTTTTTTTTGCCCTTGGGAAGGCAATCACCATGAGGCGATGGAAAAAAATGCTCCAGACAACGCTTTATAGGTCCGTTGGAATATTCGCCGCACCTTTGATGTTTTATATTTTGTAGATCCTCCTACCTGCCTCCTATATATAATTACGGGAGATAGTATATTTTTTGTTTAAATTCATTCATAAGTAGATGTAATAATAATAAATAACAATGGTTTTCTATCTGTAGAAAGTTTACCGTGTTATTACTCTGGGTAAGACGTGGTTACGAGCTTAATAATAATAATATATAACATTTCTATATCACATACATATGTATCTTACAAATCAACGTCAGTTAAAAATCCATAAAACTTTGATTTCAATAATAATAAATGCAAGTGGTTGTGTCTAAATAAATTTAATTCTTATATGGAACGTGGGTTAGGTTGACTTGACTTATCTGGTTTTAGTAATAAAATCTGTTAATCTTAAGATATATAATAGTCCGTCTAAAATGAAGACATTCGGCCAACGTTCAATTAAAAATTAAGGAGACAGCATAGGCATTTGCGGAGAGCTCGGTAGTTACCGGTTTTTGTATTGACTAATGCTGTACATCACTGCCGTTTGGACCGGTTGTATAGACGGAGCCCCCTCCCCTTGCAGGACACCGCACACTTGCAACCATAGAATTCGAATCAAGCGAGACACATCACTTACATGCCTTGAGATGGTTTCGGAAACCTTTTTTTTCATCCTTACAATTGAAAGGACAAAACTTTTTATAGTAATTATCTGATTAATGTTATATCTAGAAATAATGTTGTCTCGTACCAAATTTGACAAACAAAGGTAATACGACAGAGAGAAGCCAGCATCGAAGTCCAAATTAAATATCTGCTCAAATTATAATATATAAGTATGCAGAGCGAAATCAAAAAGGATCAATTGTAGCAAAAGGATGTAACAATTTAAAAAGGCAGCCCATTAGCATTACTGATGTGTAGAGGATTTGAAAGGGATTTAAAATATTTTTTTATTTTACGCAACTGTATGTTGTTTTTGTACGTTGCTTCTATAAAGGGTAATTTTTACTAAACGTTTTATTAATTTATTTATGTCTTTTTCAGGTAAATCTCAAACAAAGCGGCGCTCTTCCGTTCGAGGTCAACGTAATAAGAAAAGTGAGCCAACGCATGTCGTATAATTAATTATAATTACAGCTTAATTGATCTCATGCTGTATTCAATTAGCTGGATACAACATTTTTGTCACCGCCTGTCACTAAATAGGAATTTATTTCATCAAATAACAATTATGTTTCTGCAGTTGTTTCATATTTGTTATTCAGTTAGAATGACACTATTTCAAAATTCTTACAATTAGTATTGTTTATAATTTATTGTATTTTTTTTAAAATCTAATGATTAGGTAAAAAAAATTACACGTTGTATATTCATACAAATTTAAATATTATTTACTTAAAACATATAGAATGTTTTTGTACTACGAACTGTTTTTTACATAATAGTTATCGTCAATCCGCCTTAAACAAGCGTGGTGATTATTGCTCTAACCTTCTCCATGTGAGAAGAGGCGTTAGCTCAGCAGTGGGCACCAATAGGCTGTTGATGACGACAGTTTTTTTTATTTGTTTTAAACGTTAAAAATTTTGTAATCTATTCTTACCTAAAACTTCAAAATACAATACCTATTATATCCATTTAGTTGGATACTTACCTAAAGAGTATGTATTTTACTAAAATTCATAATAACTCAACGGTATTAAATACTCAGAGGAAATTGTCATTGCATACTAAAAATTAAATTACTTATCCATAGTGGCGATACTTTCTGCTCAGCATAATTAGTTCATTTGAATAACTGTTTAAAAAATATATTGGTTGGTTAAAAGTTAATGCACAAACATGTAACGCTATGCGTGATTGCGTGTTATGTTGAGCATTCCTGCATGCTCAATGATCGACGTAATCATACCATATCAATCTATTAATATTGGGCGCATCAATAAAATAACATGAGATATACAAGCATTTATCATTTAATATCAAATGTATTTCTATTAGGTTGCACCAGAGTAGATAGAGCACAGTTCAATGGAAATCTTATCAAAATATTCAGTGGTGAATACGACCGTGCCCGAGCTGAAAATGGAGGGGCCTCGGATCCTCGGGGAGTGGCTGATTGGAAATTCAGAGAACTGGATCGTGATAGAAGTGGGACACTGCAGAAGTCTGAGTATCGCGGCTTGCGGAGACTCATCAAAAAGGTTAGTACATTACTGCGTGGTACCTAAGCGGGTACAATAACATATGTAAAACTATAAGCCCCAAAGCACTATGTGAAACTGGATTAGATAGTAAATATGGTATATAGTATTATAACTATTTTGGTAAATGAGACTTATTGAAATTACGAGATAAATAATCTCTTTTTAAGGTCTTAGAACAAACAGTGTGTAGAGTGAACCCTTTAATAGATTTAGTTTTTAATAATTTTATCATTTAAACATATTTTTTATATAAAAATAAATATTTATATAAAACGATGGATATTAAGCTATAAAGAGTAGGAATAAAATTAACTTTTAAAAAAACACGATGCCAAAGAAATTTGTAAAGACAAATAATACAGTTAGTCTTTGCTCTGTAATGAATTATGTACTCGTAATTTGTAATTTGGATTAATTCACATGAAATATGATATTATTGCTCTCTAGTTAGGACATTCATCCATAAATCCTGATTGCAGCATCAGATCAAACATGTCGTCTTCTGTTTCTATTCAAGGTGCATTTGTATTAATTCGCCAGATTTGACTATTTTGTAAAAGCTTCATGAAAATTTTCTAACATAACTAACAAGTTTGCCGAGTGACTGAGCTCTTTAATAAAAATAAACCGCATTCCAATCGGAGAAACCAATTTTGACATATTTGAAATTTTTGAAATATTAAATCTGGCGCCCAAACAAACATCTAACATTAAAATCATGTCACCTTCGATTTGTTTGAAGCATAAAAAAATATTCTTGAACATAACGGAAAAATCAACAATATGTCAGTGCATAAACATAGCAATGTGCAACCATAAAAACCATTTATGTTATCAATACAGTATTGGTTACCAATTTAAATGAACATATTAGTAATGTACAATCTCGGAACGGATTATTTTAACAAGGAGCCCTATTGTTTGTTGTTTTATAAACAAGGCCACATGATTTCTAGAGCAATTGCTTCATCTTTAGTGGTTTTACGATTCCGAACTGGGACAAGCCCAACTTCAAGGAAATATGTAAAGCACGTAAAATTTTATGAAGCTTATGAGAACTATTTTGATCCTTTTAGTTTGTCTTAACATTCATAACAAATGAATGACTATTTTGTGAGTTGAACCATGTGTACTTTTATTCATTCTCTCGTAGTCGGTTATAAGGTGCCATGTTGTTAGATAACACAATGGAATCGTCTCACTTCCGACACGTGTCATAAGATCGATCGTGTGGTGTTATGTGTATGTACCTATATAGTTATATAAGTAAATTGATGTACTTGTGTTCATACTATAAACTATAATGATTTACGGGGCACTTATAAAATTCATTTTTGCAAAAAAAAACTTCATAAGAATTTTTATTTATAAAAGATTAAGTTACACTGATAGTCATCTCTAAAGTGGACTTGAATTATTTATACTGGATACGTTTTACATTTAGCTAAACGCTATATGGTGTATCATAAACTTTTTACAAACGCACGTCTTATATACGAAGCATCAAGCTTGCTCTACAATCATTTTCGGGATTTCGGTGGTACTATGATAGTCAATTTGTATAAATAAATATGTGTAGGATCCATATTTTTATATTCAAACAAGATTAATTGTTTCCTTAGATCTATCGAGATGCGTTTTACTTTATATCTAATGTATATAGGTGGTAAAACCAAAACGATGCGCACGCGCATGGGCCCGCGGTTGTGATGGCGATGGGGACGGGGAGATAGCTCGCTCGGAGTGGGCCGCATGTCTCCTGGCTAGCCCGGACCCACCAGCTCCGGACTGTAAGTATCTTGATACATAATACTTGATATATATATATGTATATAATGCTGTTGTAAAATTATTTGTACCTATGTTGGAGATTTTCAGTACTTAGATAGAATATATACTTGTAATTTAAGTTATATGTTTTGTGTTGGAGAATGTTATTGCTTACTTTAATGTTTTTATACTTTGTCGCCACGTTCTGTTGATGCTTTTGATGTTCTTGGTATCACTGTTTTAAAATGTTTAATATAAAAAACCCTTTAAGTGCTTAGTAATGTTTGTATCCAAGTAGGTAGGTATTCGTAAAAGAGGAAAATGTTTTTTTATTGTTTGGAATTTTCCTGTTCCTTATAACGGACAGACAGACGCCTCGGTTTAAAAGAAGTGTAAACATAATCTATATTTAATACAACAATGTGGTTATTAAACGTTATTTTAATATAAACATTTAATCTCGGGCGATCGTGGAAAATCGTATGGTGATTTTAAACATATTGTATAAATGTCAACTGCGAATCTATTAAATTTCTAAACCAAGGGTGACATGAAACTCGATTAATAAAAGTGGGTATGTCATTTTTACTAATATGAGGTTGCTTTTAAATGATATACTTAATATCAGGTTACAACCACTCCGCGGTGGCTTCATCAAAAGAATTCTTTGAATATGTACTTAGAACATCATGACATGTTATTACATTATAATCAATGAATATATCTTTATAATGGGGATTTTATAAGGTAAGGTAAGACGTGAATTTATGCGCAAACATAATAATAATATATAGTCTCTCTCCGTTTCTTCATGTCGTTGAATGCAGACGACGATAGTGTTCCAGAGCCTGAACCGGACTACGAAGAAGAACCACCTCCAGACCCCAGTTCAGGTAGAAATAAATTTACATGGATAACTTCTTATTTTATTAAAAAATATTAATATATTCAATATACAGTAAACACATACCAGATCTAAAAGAATATGATTGACGACATAGGACACCCGCCCACCTTTATAGGGAATATAGTTTAGTAACTAGCCGTGTCCGTATGTACCTCTGTCTGTGTGGAATAGTCACTTTTTAATGGTTTATATAAATACTAATAAATAAAAATCTATACTAAAAGTTGTCTAAACTACTTCTTATTTTATTAGCTATTTGACAATAAAAGTCCCACCAAAAGCGATCCAGTTCTTTCAGAAATTAGTCCGAAAAACAAATAGGCAGGCAGACGGTCAACAATTTTTAAATGTGTAATTTTTGCGTATGAAATTCAAAAGCATTTAGTAAGAAGCGGTTATTTTAATATTAGAGACAATCCAATTTTATTTAACTATTTGTATAGATGACTGGTGCATGTAAGTTTCGACGACACCACATGTTGATAATCAAAATTCTTAGACATATTACTCACAATTGGATTTCACTAGGGCAATGAGTCACATCGTGGATGGTTATACATGCCTTTATGTACAGTTTTCTCTACTTTTATACATTTTTACAAACGGTTCTTTCTTTTCTCTTCAATAATGGAAGATAATTTTAAAATAAGGTATGCCAATTAAATATTACCTATAATTATATATCTTTGGTAAAATCGATCAATTTTTTCCTCAGTATTGCCTGGCATAATGCGGAATTCTTTCGCTCCAGACGGTTCTGTTGTAAGAGAAGACGAAACAAACGACTGTCTCACAGATCGACAAGCCGTGCTAGACGAACAGGTATATTAATGTGTAAGATTAAAAACCTATTGGTATACCTATATCTAAGCTGAGCGAAATAGTAAGCTGATGCGATTGGTACGCAGTGCGATGTAATGTATATAATAAATTAACTTTCTATATATTGCTTTTTATATATATTTCTCAGTCTGACTAATCCCCGCTATATTACTATGGTTGGAAGGTAGCGATGATTCATATTATATTTATAAGAGTAGTTCTTTAACCTACTAAACATCCTCTATATGGGTTGGGCAATGTAATTAAAAAAATAAGCTTTAACGTAATAGATCAAACTTGAACAATTTATACAGAAAGCTGGCAGTGCTGTTTTATACGTGCCGGAGTGTACGGGCGACGGTCGGTATGCGCGCGCGCAGTGTTACCGCTCCACCGGCTACTGCTGGTGCGTTCATCAAGACACGGGCAAGCCTATACCGGGGTCGTCGGTCAAGGACGCCAAGCCGGACTGCGACGCCGCTCCACAACACGCCAGCCCAATGAGAGGTAGACTCATAAATTCATTTTTACGTATAATTTTTCATGATTCTCTACTAGAAATCGCCGTTTACATTACATTCTGTTGTGTATTGTGAAAATAGTGACAACTTCTCAAATAGTTTCAGGAGACCAAATCTCAATTAATAGTACACCTTAGTGGTCTTGTAGTTAATCACGCGCCACACCATGTATTATAATCTCCGAAACTAAAGACGAGTCCCATTCCAAATTTGACCTTTATACAAAACTAGGTTTTTTGGTGACATTTTAAACCTCATTTTTACAGAATTATACCATATAATAATATAAGTAGAAGAAACAACTACTCTGGGTATAATTCTGTTTAATTATACCCAGAGTAGTTGTTTCTTCTACTTATATTATTTTGAGGAATATAAATAAAACGATTGATAAGGAACAAAATGACTTTATAGATCCAAGCTATCTATTAAAATACACATATAACTTTTTGCACAAACGAAGTCTTATAGGTTAAATATTAAAATACCATCATGCTATGGTTATAAGACTATGAAATTTAAACATTTAATTTTCTAAAATTATCTACATATGAGAATTTAGTTGAAAAAGTCTAAAATTTTATTAAAATGGATTTTCTTCAAAACTATAATTAAAAACCTTGTTTGATTTAGTAGAGTTTAAAAACTATGATTAAATGTTTAAAATTTAACATGAACATAGATTACACTTTCATGTTAGATGCACTTGCACTAAAATACAATCCACATAGTTATGGAACAATTACAATATAACAGTAAAAAATGTATACAGTATATTTTCCTAGAAATATACACGTAGTTTCTACTTATATAGTATAAATAACACTAAACAAAAATGCACAGGTTTCAATAGGAAAACTACAGGAGGTGTAATCATAACTATCTAACGTAATAAATACTTGATCAGACTTCAATATTTTAAGTATTTGATACCAGTATAATATAAAACTACACTTTAATTATTCACATAACTCTAGGTTGCCCAGAACCAATGAAGAGTCATTTTCTCCATGACCTGATAAGTTTCTTCATATCAAAGATGACTACTTCTATCAACGGCACGGGTCCAGGGTGAGGATTTTTATTACACTGAATTAAATATGACAAGTACTGGTTTACAATAACAGAACACAATTCAAACAAGTTTCTAAATAATTTGACTACCTAGCGACAGAACATCCATAAGTACAATATAAAACTAACACAATTTGTCGTAACTACTCCAAAAATTAAGTATTCCTAATTAAAAACAAGATATCGTTTTGCTCTATTCATTTCCATTTCTTAAATTATATAAAGGAATCAATCATGTAAGTGGCTAACATTGTAAATTCAATGAGCAGATAACGTTTTAATAAAATAAATATCGCACATTATGTAAAAACCATTGGAATAATTTAACAATACAACATATAAAAGCTTATTTAACAATATAAGAATAAGTACATATGTCGAGATCTAACAGTATAAAACATTTTCTATAGAGATGTGGTAAAATGGGGGGCGTCTAAGGAGGAGCAAGCAGCTACTTGGACATATGTTATGTTAGACAAAGACAAAAACAAAGCCTTGGAGAGACGGGAGTGGAAAGCTTTCCACCAGCTGATATCAAATATGGAGCCATTGAGAAGATGTGGAAGGAAACTCCCTCGTTACTGTGACGTGAACCATGATTCCAAGATTAGTATTACAGAATGGATGGCCTGCTTGGAGGTCACACAAGCAGCACACGGACATACCAGTAAGGAACATTATCATTAAAGTTTATATATTTTTCCTTTAATTGATACAAACATTGCAAGTCTATTTACATAAATATATTGTGCTTAGTATATATAACTTACTGTTTTAGCTGAAACCACAAAAGTTCCATCTAATCCAAGAAGAAAAGGACCCAATCCTCTCGAATCGATTCTAAAGGCCGACGACTAGAATTACAAAACTATATATGAGATTTATAAGAGATTTATAAGTATAAAATTATACAATCACCTTGAAATTGAATCGTTGATTCAATGTCCATACATAGAAAATAGTAGGTAATTTTCAGTGGCAATGATAAATGTCTCATATTTGTAATGTGCATATAAATGTTTCGAGCCAGAACTATTTATGAGGTCCTGATGAATTTCTAGTTTATTATAATACAACTTCACTAGTCTTGCAACTTGTATTGTTTCAAGAAGTTAACTGTTCTGTGTGTTAATGGCTATGAGTGGTTTATATAAGTGTGTTCATTATAAAAACACATTTTGTTAAATACCTTTTTTATAGTATTATATTTCTATCTCTTCGATAGACCACTAATGTTTGCTGGCAACGAAATTGTAAAAAATTGTACTGATTGTATGTAGATTTAAGATCAAAATTTTCTTTTCTCTATATATTTATGAAACTTTTAGTCAGTGTAAAATGTAAGAGCTATGTGATATTTTCCATTTCTACATTACTATTGCAAAATAAATAACTTAGAACTTGACAATGCTGTTTTAACTATACCTTAATATATGATAATAAATGTTGATATATTTTTTATTTGTTTTTTTTTTACTCATGGCTTAACATAATAACACTTCATGGCACAGATCCATCACTTGGTTTACTGAGCACAGTTCTTTTATATTCATCGACAGTTTCTGATAGTATCTTCTGAAAAATGCTTTCAAACACCTGATTTTTAACAATCACTTCGTCTGCGTGCAACGAAGTCCACTCTGGTTCACAACGTCGCCACTCGGCAAACAATATATCATCTATGTGGTCTGACCTCCTCGCTCCTACGCCTAATTAAAAGAAACAACATTATTAATATATATATATATATATATATATATATATATATATATATATATATATATATATATATATATATATATATATACATAGCTTTATAAAAAAAATCTTATAAGTTATTTTAGTTGTCAACAAAACTAAAAAAGGAATAGCCATGAAGCAAACATTTCTACTGAATGTAAATACTGAAGGTTGATCTGGGTGATACCTACTTAAGAGTAAAACAGTTTTAAAAAATTGTAGTATGATTTCAGTCCGATAAAAATTACCATGGAGTAAGTTAAAGGGCAAATTAATTCCGTAATATGCAATATGTGCACATTTTCATAAACACTACATTTAGAAAATAGAAAGATTCCATGACTGTTTGGAGGACTTTTTGATTCGTGGCTATTTCTGCCATTAGCAATATAAGAAGTAATAAGAAAAAAGTAATGAGAAGCATACAAGAGAAAGTACTTAATATATATATTTTAATCTATGCCCGTTTCTTACCTGAAACAACGGTAGGTGGTACACCTGACAAGACTTCTTTTAAATCCGCCGCAGCTTTTTTGACCAATTTCTCTTTATCCGGCTTAGGTTTAACCGGTATCATATTGCATGTGTCCCAATATTTGTCGTTTCTATCCAACTTCTGCCTTTCAATGGACTCTTGGCAAAAGTCTTTGACAAATACTTCAAATACATCTGTTTCGCTGAGTTGCTTGCCAGGATTGAAAAGCAACTTGTGTATTTTCTGTTCATTGATGTCATCAGCTATGAACTTGTTAAGAGATTTCAAAGGTCGTGGTTCTGTTGGTGGCGTGTACGGCGGTGGGGGTTTGTCCGGTATCTCACGCAACGCCAACAATTGACACTGTTGTTGTTCTAATGCTTTAATCTGAAAAAAGAGAAGTCAACATTCATAAGCATATGTGCATAATAATAAGATTTCATCTGGAACTAAGAACAAACTAGAGGAACATGAAATATAGCAAATTCATAGTTTATAAACTAATGCAGTTTTGATTTGAGATTTAAATATATTGCATACGTAACTATTTAACGTAAGAATTTATATGTTATGAAATGTTAAGTAAAAGTTAAGTTTACGAAAACTTTGAAATAAAAAGTTACCGATCTTTTTATGTTAATATATTTGTCCAAATATAGAATGCCCATTATACATATTACAGCTAAATAAAAACCAACCTCTCGTTCAATGGCTAGTTGTTGACGACGTAATTCTTCAGCCTCGTACTGAACTGGTGATGATAAAGACGAAATGCTAGGATTATGAGATTGACTACTCGAACTGCTCACACCTTCGAAAACAATAAAAAAGTACAAAAATTACTATTGAATAATTAAAAAATATTAAATATTTTTGTATTCAAAAGATTTCAAACATTTCTTACTTTATAAATTTATGGTTATATTGACATAAAATAAATATGTTTAAAAATCTAAGAATAAATGAAATTTAAAAATATTCAAAGTAACTTACCGGTGGACTTCACCGACGATCTCTGGGTCAACCACGTGGCTACTTCAGATGATACATCATCAGTGGAAGCAGCACCAGCTGGTACAGGTAATGGTCCCGTCACACTAGACTGAGTCACTTCCTTGCCTTTGGACACCTGAATCCCAACACTAGCTACTAATGGCTCGCAACTACAGCATTCGTCAACGGACACTGAACGATCAACTCCCCCACTCGGAACAGCCGATGTCTTAACATCATTTTTGATGTTTCCAGCTTCAGGTGTGACTTGAACCTCTTTGATGTCATCCACAAGAGCACGACCGACTTCATATGAGTTATCGTCATCGGAATAGGTCTTGTAAATCTGGTCGAATTCATCCACCAAACTTCTAGCGGTGGACGGTGAACTCGATTCCAACTCGTGATTCTTTATATGATCCATAAACTCTTCAAGCGCCACTTCGTTGTTTTGATTAATATTGTGCATATTGCTTTTATCGACTAGATTCTTCAGGGCGTCCTTGTTCACTTCGTACTGTTTACCGGCGCTGAAGATTTGAGGTGATAAATTTTGGAAAACGATGTTTAAGTAGCTACCATCAACAACTACATAATTCTCGTCGAAGGTGTTCGTTGATTGGTCTGATGTAAGTGGGAGGCTTTCACCTGTTTGAACGCACTTTTCGGCGCTTGTAACTGCCTTTAAATCGTTCAGTACAATGGATGCGTTTGACTTGGGCCTCGACGTAGTGCTATCATCGCAGCCGCTGCTAGACAATTCAAAACATTTAAGAGGTGCATTGTTGCGATCTGTAGATACATTACGTCTTAATTTCTTTTTTCCCAATATAATTTGTTCAACATCAGAGCTATTCCTTAATTTAAGTTCTATGTTCTTCTTTGTTTTCTTCAACGCCAGTTTACGTTGTTCCGACAATGCCAACAGAGCCTTTCTCATACGCTGCATTTCACCACATTCGTGTTGAAGTTTTATGATTGCACCTCTTTGTTTCTTCTTCAGTGTCGGTATGTCGGTGTGATCATGTTTTTTCTTATCCTCCAACCATAAAATTTGCGACTTCGTAAAATGTTTCAAAGCGTCTTCTCGCATTTTCAAAGCATCCAACAGATATTCTGCTTTAATTTGCTCATTTTGAATGAGAAAATTTAGCTAAAAACCAATAAAAGTATAATACTCCCACATTTAAGGCAATAAAATAATTTCAAGAAAACGTAATTTTAGTTAATTATTACTAACAAATATTCAACTATAAAGTGAATTATTGGAGCATACGCTTCCAAGAGTAAATGTATTCTAATTGAGTATTAACAAATGAGTGCTCATTTCATAATTGTTTACATTTAAAAAGCGAAACACTTACCAGACAAAGACTCTCCGACGCCATTGTTTTAGGGTTGTCAATATTAAATTCATTTTCGAATTGCGATAAAAATGATCCGAATTCAAAGTTCTTTACTTCATTGGCACCACCACTAATCCAGTTTTCGACCTTTTTTTCAGTTATACTTCTATCAGATAACGAACAGCTATCTAAATATTGAAGAGACTCGAAAAATGAATCGATGAAATTAAGCTCTCGTTGAAACTGCCCACAGAGATCTCTATGCAACAAATTGTTATTAAGTTTTATTGTACTAATTATATCTGATGGTTTTACCAATTTCTCACTTTTTAGAGCATAAGAACGGTTAATAGGTGTAAGACGATTTTCTGTTTCATCGCCAGATTTACTATCTTGGCTATTGTAGTTTAGTTTCTCATCGTTATTATATTTCTGATTCGATATTTCCTTTTTCAGTACGGAAACAACGTTCAAAGGGTAATTTAAAGAACGTGGTGAGATCCTAGAGTGCAAAACTTCGTTATTTTCTACTAGATGAAAATTTATTTTTTGTCTTGTTGTATAAGTTAAGGTAGCTCGGCCAATGATGTATGATGTACTTTTATGGTATACAGTATCTTTATCGCTAGCATTCGAAGAAGCAACATCAATATTAGGCATTCTATCAATATCACTATCTTGTTCTTTTTCTTCTTTTACACAACTGTTCATTATATTATTGATTTTCTTTTCACTGTCTAGATCTTTGGACGAGTCAGTTTTACTATTAATTAAGCTTACATTTGGTATTTCAAGACTATCGTAAGTATCTTTGATATCCTTACATTCACTACCTAATTTGCTTATCATTTCATCAACTGATGTCATTTGATTGACTTTCTCTGGTGTAAAATTTGTTGAAATTTCTACATCTTTAAACGTCACATCTGGAACGGCTTGAACCGCTCTAGTGACTTTATCAATAGAATGTACAGCTTGATTCATGATGACCTCTGAAGCCTCAGTTCCAATATCACATTTGCGAAAATGATCATCGAGTGGCACATGTATTACAGAAACTGGTCTAACCTTGTCTTTAATATCTTTGATAAGCGACATTTTGTTACGATTAAAATTAGGTGGAGATTTAGTTCTTTTTGTCTTGTCCAAGACAGTTTTTGGTGGTGCCTTAATGTTTATATATTCTTTTAATTTGTTTTTCTTGGGATAACACTCCTTTTCATTTTCTTTTGGGTTTAATAACTTTTTACTTAAGCTAAATTTAGGTGATGATCCAGCACTTTTTATACTTTTAGCACTTTTTGTTGATTCTGAAAACAAAATAAATGTTAAATATTTAAAAAGTTTATCCAATTTCACCTTCATTAGCTTTCTATGTATGTTGAGAAAGTTCTACCATTGTCATTGAATTCTTTGTATTTTGCAGTGTTTTGCCCTGAATTATCCCCTCTTGAATACTTATATTTGTTTTCAAATTTGGGTGTGGTTTCTTTTTTATTATTGGTCATATTATATTTAACACTACACTTTGTATCCTTGGAATCTAAAATAAAGAAAAAAATGGAAAAGAACTCAAAGGTAACCAACAAAAACAAAATCTAAAATAAAAAGACAAAAGAAATCATTGCTACTCTCTAAAAAAACATGAATAAATAAAATAAATACATTTTTTAACATATGATAGTCTAGTTATATTTTGAGCACTCTTTGTTGTTTCCTCCAATTCAACTTCTGTAGCTCTATTTACCGCTTTAGAGACACTTCGACGGCTACTAGGTACTAAAAGAAAAATATACCTCAAGTATATATAAATTAAAAGATAAGAAAAGAAAAGATATGAACATAAACTCCTATGCAACAGTTTGATTTACATAATAGGTTTATTACTTACAAAATTTTGGATAGACATTTGTTTCACTTTCTTCTTCTATGGTTACTATTTTTCTCTTGCATACTTTGGATGTCATTACACCTGGTGCAGCAACATTGGATCTCAATGATCTATGTGTGGTTTCTTTTGGCTCTTCAATGGTAATGATACGACGCAACCTTGGTTCCAATGATATATATTGTGGTGACCATGATGCTGAAAATTATTAGTGAGAGATAGAAATTAAAGCTCTACAAAAACATATAAAAGTTGTAGCATATGACATGACACAAACATTAACACATGCCATAATTTGCATTGCAGAACATAGATCAGTTGCAAGAGCAGATAGGAATTAGCAACACGCCACACAATATTTACTACAAAGTAGCTTTTTACAATAACCTTTTATAATGGTTTACAGTAAGCCAGAAATCTTAATATTGTTGCTGTGCAAAATGTTCAACTTGATTAATACGTATTAATATACATAATTCATATGTATAGAAATGCTAGCTGACCCGGCAAACATTGTTTTGCCACATAAAAAAATAGGGGTTGGTGATAAAAAAGTAATAATTTTGGTTTATATGTATTTTTAGCTACATTATTAAAAAAAACTTTCGTCCGACAAAAAAATTAAGGGTGAACATAACTTAGGAGTATGAAAAATATTTTGTCGGCTGATTCTCAGACCTACTCAATATGCTCACAAAATTTCATCAAAATCAGTCAAACCATTTCGGAGGAGTTCGCAATCTAACACTGTTACATGAGAATTTTTTATATAAGATGTATAATATATAATATAGTAATATATACTATATATACAGTATTTAAAAAAAATATATCAAATTAGGATTAATGTCACCACAAAAAAAACAACAATACAGTGTAAACTCTATATAACGACACTGAAGGGACCGTGCATTTTAGTGCGTTATAAAGAGTTGCCGTTAAATAGAGAGAAGAAAAATCAGAATTAGAAAAAGACAAAGTTTATTTCAGACTAGTGTTAGAACTTATGTACGTACAAAAGAATGTTATAGTTTGAGATATTGTGAGCAACTTTTTATGTTAACGTATAGGTAATACAAGACTCCTACTTATGGTCAAAAACCGTCGACACGTTTAAGCAATTTGTAATTGTAAACAAAAGAACGAATTTCTTAGAAAGTTCGGTATGCATGATAGGGACAGTCGAGTTTATTGCGGGCTAGGATAACAAAGCGACAAAGGAACGTACACAGCTGCGCAGTTTTTACTAATTTTAGCAACTTAACAGGTACTTTTTACTTAAATGTTGTCGTTATTGAGAGTGGGAGTGCCGCTATGTAGAGTGTATCATAGTATGGTAGACAAGCTAAACCAACCAAAGTCAAATGATTTCGACGCTTTAGAGAGTTTGTCGTTAAATCGAGTGTCGTTATATAGAGTTTACACTGTATTTATATTAATGTATAAGATGAGATCAAAAATTTAGTCTTTGAAATTCTTCTGGATATTTTAAGATCATATATTCTTGATGGAACAGATGCAAGGAACTGTTTATTGAATATACACAATAGTATGTTTTTACATAAAAATAAGGTTTAATTCAAACACATTTTCGCACATATTCTTCCAAACATTTAAAGCACTCACAGACAAAGGCATGAAATTTTAAATAAATGGCATTTAATTAATAACAAACATGTAATGGAAATAATAAATATAAAAGTGATAAAAAACAAACAATACTTACATCCATTAGATACAAAAACACAACAGTTAGAAGGTACCAAGCAAATATACATTAAATGTTAAAATATGATTTCTAAACATAAATATCAAACTTAAGTGGAATTATTTACACTAAGCATACACTACTTCTATAGACTACAAAATTTAAACTTAAAAAGCAAATGAATGAGGCATCTTACAAAAAATTAATATTTGTTATTTCAAAATTCCTGCACAATACATATTTTCAGAATATAAGAATATTTCAAATTGATATTTTAATGCATATATATCAACTGTTATTATTTAAAGCATTAAATTTTTAAGAATAGAATAGGAATTAGATTAAACTGTATTGCTTTATGAATTATAAAATTAAATAATAACTTAATATTTTAAAAAATATTGAGAACTATGGAAATGTCAAGTAAAAAATATTATTATTATAATTGTTTTTAAACTTGGTATCTCTGTACATACATAATCACTTAACTATGAATGTACACAACATGAAATCGTTGAAATCAAGAGAAAAACGGACAAAATTGCTGTAATTTCTTCTTTAACACTTGTTGAAAGAAATACTAGTTTTAGGCTAGATTCTTTTAGTAAAAAACTAAATTTTACCTTTAGTATTGAGATCGATGTCTGGTAGTCGCGTATATTTCACTACAGGTTTATTATACGGAACACGAGCCGAGTAGATGGGATTTTCAATTTTCAAATAAAGATCGTATAAATTATTTTCGGGATTCGTTTTGTTGGATGCCGAAGCATCCATTATGCACTAGACTAAAAATATTCAAACATGTAATGCCTTTACCACATTGTTGGTTATTATAGATATATACTATTAAAACCTGAGCATGAAATAAAATTTTTTACTTTTTCATTTTTTGTTCAATACAACGAGAATTTTTCTTTTTGTTGTCAATCAGTTTTGCTAAGTTTACTACAGTTTTGTCTGTTGTCTATGTTTATATAAATTTTATTGTCTATGCTTCACAGGAACTTCTTGAATACTGGCTCCATATAGATATCTTAAAACTTAAACATATATTCTCTAAATTATATTTATCAATAGTGAATCTGTAGATTCGTTATTAATATTTTAGGTAACCATAGGAGGAAAAAAGTAGGGAAGTAAAATTTACTAAACCATGAAGAAAAACAAGAAACGCTCGAGGCATCCGCATCAGTAATACAACTTACAAGACCTGTTTTTGTCTGAATTCATTTCGAATTATTTATTTCCGTACCTTCAACCTATAAGATTGTAATCTAGACAGATAACCCTCGTATTTTTTTTGTAATTAGAGCAAAAGGTGAAATAACATGACATATTATTGAAAAGCGCATTAAATCATTTTTAACTAAAACAATCAGCTAAAGCATTATTGGGTAAAAAAATAATACTTTTTTTTCTTTTAATCCAATGTTTTAAAATTTGTGAAGTGAATAATATGTTTCTATATTTCTCTAATATCTTTTTAACACTAACATACATTTTGTTTATTTATTTTTTACAATAATATTTTATATAACATTATTAAATTAAGTGTAAACATTATTAGACAACATTAAAAGTTAACTATTATCTTCTTATGAGCTTTTCAGAATTATTGAGAAAATTTAAAACATACTTTATTTTTAGAATATCTGAATCACTTTGAAATAGTTTAGAATGTTCTATATAATTAGAATGCAGTAGTATCTAAAGAAATCAATAGTTATACCAAAGACAATAAAACGAAATCCAAAGACAACTTAAGTATCTTAATAAAAATAAAAAGATGGAACTAGAAGTGTCATATTCTGAACAAGATTCCTCATTTTCCTTGGAGTTTTAGAACGTTTTTTAAGGCTTGATTCATAATTTTAGATATTTCTATTTCAATAGTTCCACCAATTTTCACATTGTCATCCTCCATGATGATCATCTAACCGGATATATACTAATATCCTTTTTCTTCACCAGTAATATACGCATATAACTAATCTATGTTATATATATGTCATACTGTGCAGTAGTCATTTAAAGTGGCTAGTGGTCCGATCTTTTGTTACCCACATTATGTTTCAAAATGAATGTTTCTTGACAAAGGGTACTTTTTTAATTAAAAATGTAGTATAGAGGAAACATGGACGGTGAAAAAAAGAAAAATGACTTTTACTGTGTTAATAATAAGTGGAATGTGACACTTGCGTAGTTGATTTTTTGTTTCTTAAGGAGGTCTGGCTATGTAAGTATAAGTATTGATTACTATTTAATACATTGCAAATGTATTAAAATTAAATGAATTTGAAAGGTATATCAATAATTTCAAGTGATTTAAAAAGAGTGTCTATTTCATTTAGCTCCTTAATTCAGTTCTTAGATATTGTATACAACGATATATATTTTAAATGTGGTTAAACCATAGCATTAGGTAACGCCAAACGGATTTTGCCTGTTTTCAGCACTTTTAAAATGACTTACTATTTTGATACCCCAAGATTGCCTTAATATTATAACCTAATTATACAGCACACCAAAGGCAAAAATAAGTATAATATTTAAAAAGGAAACATTCCAGGAAATTACGATTAGAGATTGCTGTTTGTTGGATGTAGTTCCAGAACCTTCTTTGATCTGTTGTGCTAATTGACAATAGTTCTGGGTCTTTCTGTCTTTGTCTATTGAACTTATAAGGCAGTAGTTACCAGTTTTTTTTACTTTATTTAATAATATTTGAGTTTATAAAAAAAGTAGAAATCTCTAAAGCAATGGTTGGTATTTTATAGACTTTACTGAAATATTTTTGAGGGTATATCTTAAAAAAAGTTTTGGTAAGGTATCTTTGTTTTTTTTTTTTTAATAAAATGAATACTCTGGCTGATTCTTCGATAGCTAAAGAATAGAGTTTTTTTGGTTGATAATGGTATGTATTAAAAAAATTCAACTTTAAGCTCTAATATCAAAAATAAAAGTCTTACATGCAAAGTTACATTAATGACTTATTCTCATGTAAAATATCATTGGTTGTGATGGGTGTGTCACTGTTCAAACTAATATTTATGAGCAATTTATAAGAGGTTGATTAATTTCCGAGAGGGTACCAAAAATAAATATTTTTTTGATATTACAATATAGTATGGTTTCATATAATTAAACAACCTCCATGCAAGTGAAACTGTGGGACAACATCACATTTATGGAAATATTGAGGCAATGGAAAAATCTTTCACTGTGGAAGACAGAATGAAAATAATTTTGATTTTATAAAAAAACTGATGTTATATCATAAAATTTGATCTCTATTGTATTCAGTGTTTCATAATTACTAGGAAAAATTTGTCTTGTTTAAAAGGAAATAATAACATGTGGTCTAATAGAAATGATTGATTTGTCTGTAATAATTTTGCAATTGAACTCCCATTAGCAAAATGAATTGCTTATAATGTGTTATAATGGTTATTATTTACATCAGTTAGCAATTTTATATCATAAAAATTTCATAGAATTATTGAGTATTGAAAATAGTGTTATATTGTTCTGCCATACTTGCATTATAAAGTTTTTATATAAAGTATCTAAAGTATTTTGTAATCAATAAGTGTTTGATAAATTTCTTTATTCAAAATACATATTTACTAAATATAAGTACATAAGTACAATAAAATTCAATTGTGTATCTATGAAGGCTGGGGATTTTGAGAACTACAAATATGGTTATTTGCTTCTGTCCTTGGTAAATTCTAAATTCTATATTATATTGTATGTAACAAAAATATTGTGTAACAATTGATTATGTAGTTATACAACAATGTATGGATTTGTCACCTATATCATGTTCCAAATGTACTAGTGATTTTGCATATCATGGTAGGTGACAACACTCCAAATGTAAGTTTTTCAGTAAAGTAATAACATTCTATGTTGTTTTATATAAAGTAAGAAGTGAAACTTTCCATTTAATAATGAAAAATATTTCTTACATTCTCTACTTACTTTTTATTATTTTCTGTACTCTTTTCTGTTCTTTGGAAAACCAATTCCTTAGATTATATTATATTTATTTTTCTACATTTTCAACTAGATGCTTTGATTTTTTTTATTTAATTGACCACTAGCTTCTGCTTTTGATAGCTACTTTTTGTAATGTCTTTTGTTCATTTAATTTTATAAAAAATTAAATTTTAACTTAGTCTAAACTGACTTTCTGTACGTTAGTTATAATAGCAGATAGAGTTAGTTATGAAATAAAATAAAAATTATTAAAAAATCAATTTCTTGTTTAAGTATTATTATTGTACAGTATTAGGTATACCACGAAAAAGCCTTAAGTTTCAATGATATTTCAGTAGGTGCTGTAAATAGTATAAAACCGACAACAATAAATAAGAAAGTGAATAAAGGAGTTATAATTTTTTTTGTGGTTTAACTAGAAGAGCTTTAATTGTCATTTTATATTTAACCTAATTTGTTTTGTTTCAGATACAATATGGCAGTCAAAAAACATGAGTTGGTTGCGGATAATCGCAACCAACTGGATCTGACTGCGTTGGCGCAATACTTTCAGATGATGAATGAACAGCCGAACTATCTGCCACCACCTCAAGAGCTTGTTAAACATTGTCAGGATATCGTGAAATGCTTAGGTAAGAGTATGTTTCTGTGCCTTTCACCTGCTTATTGTGACAGATGGTGTTTTAATAGATTCACTCTCTTTATCAACTCGGGGGGCCTGTATATTAACTAAACTAATTTAATCGGTTTAAGGCCTATATATCGACGGTACCAAGCTTCAGGTTTTGTTTTATAGTACGTGAAAGAAACTTAGATCTTTTGCTTCCTATTGGGGATTCGACAAATTTTGCTCTTAACAGTATTAACCACCTTGATAGTTGATAATGTTAACCATCTCTTGAAGGGTCTAGAATATAAGCAAAGGCTCCATACCTACTTTGTGCAAAGCGATCACTGCATCCTATTTTTTATGTAACAACCCATTCCATAATGCAATTTGATAAGGAATACGAGGAAATATGTGAAGTGGCACAAAATCAGATATTTAAAATTAATAATATGTGTTCCTAATTCAAAATAATCAAAAAATTACAAAAGAAAAAGGTTTTATGTAACAGTATTTATGGCAGGAGTAGTTAAGCTAATTAATATAAATGTATTCTAAATACAAAAAAGTACTTAATATTTGTATGATTTTCATAAATTGTCTTATTTTAGCACGAACAACAGGAACAGAGGAACAATTATGGCAACTGCTGCAGCCGGTTGAGAGGTTTTTGCTCCGTGTAGTGACATCAGTACACGGCGATGTTCGTCATGAAGTCTTTACAGCCATTCTAGACAAATTCTATTCCTACATATCAGATCCACGTAAGTATTATAATTTACTAACATTGTTTTATTTAAATAGAGGTACAAAAACACTGACAGTTATCTTTTAAAATACTTTTGTCATAATGTAGAATTTTTATTAATCCATGTATATTAATTTACATTCATTATGAAGTTCCATTAAGAAAACGAATCGTTAGGCTTAAAATGCACTATGCAATCTTTTTCTACGGCCTAAAGTCCCAAACATATCTAGGAACAACGTAGGACTTTCACTATAATTATTAAAATATATATTTTAATAATGAATAGATCATACATGTGATATGGGTAGTTTTTAATAAAAAGTGTTTAAATATTTGCAATTAGAATAAGGTAGATTTGTTGGATAGATTTAAATTATATCAATTGTTTCAGAATCGGACGCGTGTCCAGCGACTGCCGCGGTGTTGGTAGTGATCGACGAGTCTGATGACGAGGGTGCTCTGTCAGCGGCCCGTTGGTTGGTCCAGCAGCGTGAGAACGGTCCGGCCGGGGCTGGGCTGAGGGCGGCGCTGTCATGTCTATTTAGATGGCTGTTACATTGGCACGGGACGCCTGCATTGGGGAATTGGATAGTCGCATATATAAAAGCTTTAGAGGTTAGTTTAGTATTACTTTATAATGTGCTCTGTCGCCGACAGATCCGGGGTACACCAACATAGCGGCCGATGGCTTTCGCAGTGGTTTTAGTGAGTAGGGACCTGCCCAGGTCGAGTCTCACACATCCCTTCCGGCCCCACCAAGGCCGGTTGGACGGCTCGTAAAAAGAGTTTCCCTGCGTAATAAAAAAAAAGAAAGTATACTTTATAATAGGAATTGCTTAATTGTGTCATTGGTATAATTTTAATTATATATTTTTTTACTAGAATTGTAGTAATATTTTGTACTGATAGGTACATATTATGTTGCAATGCCACACTTAGTCTTTAACGTAAAGATGCATTTTATTTGTTAAAGCCATTTGGCAACCTGTTGGACTTGGACATTTTTGTTATTTCTGGATAAATGGTTAGGTATAAAGTTCTACAAAGAAAATTTCAAAATGCTTATTTATCAAACGTACTAAACTTGTAAATGTCTAATAGCGAATGTTGTATAATTCGCATTATAAAATTGGTTGCAGTTTAAAGGAACACCCAAACGTGATTATCCTTCGACCTGTCAGGTTTTTTTTCGTTTTGTTTGTTTTTTCTTCTTTTAATATACAGTTTTAGATATCTTCGACTACCGCGACATCTCTTCCAGCTTTCAAGGTTTCTTAAGCATTCCAAATATAATACACAATTATTGTTTAACTTGGGTTCCACGGCCTGGTTCAAGTACTTTCCATGTTTCATCTTCACTTACAAAGTGTACGTGGAAATATAGCTTAAATCCCGCAATGACTGTGGATACCCTCGACTATTAAGTTACTGTCCAATTCTATTTTGAGACAACTGGTTTCCTTTTCAGAAAAAAGTTTTACTTGAAAAATTTGATTTATATCTTTCTATTAACTAATTTCAATGGCAAGACTCACCTCTGGTACTACGGTAATTAGGCACTTTAACATGGCGCTTTTAATTCTTTTGCGGTTACTCAGTCACAACAAATTTTCGATTCAAAACGACATAATTACTTTAAATTTGACACTAAGGTCAATATTGGTTCTCCACCGAGCATTTTTCCTCTAAATAGATTATATTACTCCAAGCTCACCCACTATCTCAGTGTAATATAAACTATTACTTGATTAGGGCGTCGTCGGGATATGTGACTTTCGTTTTGCTGGCATCGTAATTAAAAGTTTGCTGCTACCTAGACTGAACTTCCTCTCTGGTAGTACACCCGAGTGGAATAGATCGATATGAAAGTTTCCACTATTTTTATATTACTGTTCAAATATAATGCAGACATATAGCATCGTCTTTAGTTTTCAGTTTTTACGTAAATTAGTTTAGTTCAGTTTAAACGTAATCTCTAAACTTTTAAAGCATTCCATTCTAAGTGTGTACCAAAGTTGATCTTCGACATTATTTGCGCTAAATCTCAGTATAAGATATTTCTTTAGGTGGTAGAGCCTAGATGTAGTCAGTGACTACAGCTCGAACATAGCTGGCTCGACCGGGGAAGTACCACCCTCTCACAGAAGATCGGCGTGAAGTAGCCTTTAATGGCTGCGTTTCGTCCGATGAGTGAGAGAGCCGGTTGCCCTTTCCCTTTTCCCACCCTTTCCTACCATTTCCTTATTCCCACCCCTCCCTATCCCTAAAAAAACAAGGTTGGCAACGCATCCGCAACAAAGATGTTGCTGATGTCCATGGGCGACGGTAACCACCTTCCATCAAGTGGGCCGTCTGCTCGTTTGCCATCTTTCACATAAAAAAAAATTATTTATGTGTACGAACAAAACAAAAATAATAGATTCGCTGTATTCTAACATTTATTATAATAGTTACAAAATGTAGAGGGTAAGTTAGTTATGTACATCATTTTGTTGACAGGAAAACGAACAATACGACATATTGATACAAACGAGTTTAGACAACGTGGCCAAACTTCTATCATCGATGGCCAATCCAGCACCGTTACATCAGAAATCAGCTGATGTTATTTTTCACGTTCTGTCATCTCTGCGTGAATCAGCTGAGGCGTTTGATAGGGTAAGTGAAAAATATCACTCTCACTCACTAAACATTCATTGATAAGTAGATCTCGAAAATTATTTGATAATGTTACTTTAAAATATTGGGTATAGATATATATATATACAGGTGACTGGTGAATTACTATCGATACTTGAGGACGTGATATTTGACGATCATATATGACAAAATAAAAATTAATATAACATAAATATTAATAAACTTCTAAGTAAAGTTAACCAAAAGTTATGTAATTAATTACGCATCGTGTGAACACCCTACAAATTCGGTATACACACACGCAAACATACGTCAACACTTGGAACACTTGGAACGTGTCAACACAACACTTTATTTATTTATACGGAAATTTTGTCAAAAATTAAGTGCCTATTTTTTTTTACATAATTCGAATGAGAATCATGTACCGAGTATTCTCCTTAAATATTGATAGTAATTCACCAGTCACTTTGTATATCGGTTATCAAGATAATTTAATTTAAATCTCCCTTATATTTGATAAGAAATGAAAGGTTGTATGAAAATAAATTAAACTATCATTACAATTGATGAATCTTTATCCATAAATCAATTAAAAACGTTTTTCAACACATTTGGAGATGATAATGGTAGCTCGAAATATCTGTCGAATTAAAATTCACGACAATTGTATGACTACTTGGATTTAATGAAGTGTTTAATGAAATTAATTAAATACGCGGTTAAATTATTTTGATTATTGTATGTTTTCATTTGAAGTATTATAGACCAAACTGCAGGCTTATATTATATTTAGTGTAGAAGAATATTCAAAAGGATTAATCTCATTGAAATGTCAAAGGATTTCTAACACAAAGCATTTTGCATGTTGAAAAGCTTTTATCGCATACTATGTAGTTCTGTTCGGACAAAGAGAATACCCACCTTTAGAAATATATTTATGTTTCTGCGAAATTTTATGTTCGGTATCAAAGTTATCTCCCATATGTCTAACAGAATGGCCGGAAATATTGTCATAATAATACAATATATAATATAAATAATTCGTATTGAATTGATTTATTTTTGTATAAAAGAGTTACTTGCGTTCTTATTGACTTAATAAACTGAATGCTTAAACAAATAACCGATAGTACGCTTTATTATGCGGGCGGTGGCTACTGGCGTCTGTGTTGACACGAACCAGCTTATACGCTGTGAAATGATGCTTTTGTGGAAGAGCACAAAGCCCACTAGTAGTAAAAAAACAGTTGACAAACAAACAGAATATGTTAACGCACAGTTAGATACATTTTAGTAGTAAATAGGTGAGGTGGTAACACTAACTGGATTTAAACGATAAATCCATTTCACATCATAACACTGTGTACTTTTAATATCATTCTTTTAATTGAAAAGCAACCTTGAAAATGACAATTAAATGGATTGATAAATTTAAAATGTAAGCAATTTTAAAAACAGCAATAGGTTGAATCTGAAGACTATTGTGATTCTAATTCATGTCCTCTAAATATCCCATTAAAGATTCCTTTTATTTAAAGATATATATAACGTATCTGAAAAAAAAAATGGTTTTAACTTATAGAAAATTATAAAAGAAAAATACAAAGTTAAAAATAAATGAGTTTGATTGCTGTATATTAAAAATATTTTTTTGTATACCTTATTATATTTTCATACTAGTAAACCTGGCGAACTCCGTTTCGCCACCAGAAGGCTTTTATATAACATTTCGTTTGGTGATTAAAGGATGAAGATTTTTTTTTGTTTTATATTTGAAAAGGAAAATTTTTATTTCATTTCACAACTGTAATTAATTCATTTCGATTACAAAAATAAGTGTTATTTAGTTGAACTTCTCTAAGTAAAATAAAGTGAATCCAACGTAGATATCAAATCGAAGCGTTATACGTGTCCGCAAATTATCCGTTTCATTGAAGTGCTCCTTTGTAAACCACATTTTTTGTGTTTTGATCTAACTTTAACACAAATAAAGCGTATGGTTTCCAAACTCGTGAACACGCAAAATATAACTGCCCATGTGAAAAACACTGATTTTTTAAATTTATCCCGCAAATACTAAATGGTTTTTGAGTTCAAACTACAAACACATTACCTAAATATTTTTAGTTTTATATAGTAGATTTCTTACAAATATCTAATTGTCATCCATACGTCATTACATATCTGTCATTATACGTCAATTGCATAGCTGTCAATTGTGTTATTCCACGTTTTATAATGACTGACGTTTCATATCAAGTCCCACGGGAATGCTGTCGAACGGGATAAAAAGTATCTTATTGCAATTTCCTGGTTCTAAACTACCTCCCTGCCAATTTTCAGCTGAATCGGTTCAGCCGTTCTTGGGTTATAAGTGAAGTCACTAACACGACTTTCTTTTATATATATAGATAATATGTATATGAATTAAATAAATGGAGAGTAAAATCATAGCAAATTTTTATCATTGGCATTGTTTTCGATTTTTAGTTTTTGGAGTTTCTTTAAAGAAGGCAAAAGGTATACAAAACAATTTGATCTCAGAGACTTTTATATTTTAATGTGTTTTTTTGTGGTACAATCTCTTACGTAAATGTTTGTATGTAATCGAATATTCCTTGCGAATCCTATAAAGATAAAGACACAATTGAATTTCAAACAAACTCGCTCAAAATGACAAGAAACATTATAAAGATGTTTAACAATTTATGTCATTTTAAATATAAGAGTTCAGACCTAAGATGTATGTAAATTAAAATATTTTTATTGTTTTGCCAAATAGAAATTTGCTATTTAGGGACTGTAACCACATTGAATTGTGGACTCTATAAATAATTTTTAAAGTGCATCTAGATGTACAAGAATGTGTTTTATTTTTCGTACCATCAGAAGAATTCATAAAAAAATTATCTAAAATATTATAAAAAATATATATGAAGTATTTCATCATAATCGTTCAACTTTAGTTTGGTATATTCAAATACATCGCATATGGTTCCGAGAACTATCCTTGATCCCATATAGCAGTAATGGACGTTATGCAGCAAGTTTTAAGCATGTAAGATTATTAGCGCATGCTTATTAGCGCATGCCCAGCCCCTGCACTCAATATCGATTTATTATATAACAGTCAGATTCATAAAATATTTTGCATAAATATGGATAACAGATTCCCAATATATCCTCATATTGACCTCATTTCGAAATAATGTATATTAAAATAAATATGTAAATCATTTTATGTAGAAAATATTTTAGTTAGAATGTGACTATGATAAAATAGGAAATAATTCTTCTGTACATTCTGTACATTGCACATTGTACAGATACCGAACACATAGAGTGAAGTTATATCTCTGTGGAGGTCTAAGGGTTTTAGGATGTCTGTAATACTGAGATTGCTTTCAATTGGAATTGCCCGGCTTTGTAAAGGGGCATGGATGTTGTTGCTATTGATTGGCTTCGGATAAGAACATTAATCCATATACCTGTGTGGTATGTACTTCTGACTTGCAGAGTTAAAGAAAGTGAACCGGTGTGCAGTTTCTGAACTGTTTTATTTACTGCTGTAACTTCTTTGGGAGCTAATTGAGTTTCGTTTTTCAATGAAATCCAAAGATTAATCTCTTTTGTCATTAGTTTTAGGAATACTCTGACTATTTCACTCATGTGTCTTAGAATTTTTAAGATTATTTTAAAATTGCACTTTCGGTGTCTCAGCAAGACCTGCGTTTTAATGTTTAAAAATTTATAAAAAGGTGAGGAATGACTAACTAACTTTTGTTAACTAACTTGTAATTTTGTAAGTATGAAATCTTTAAACTCAATGAGCTAAAAATTTGGATAAACGTATATGTATAAAGTTAGTATGAATTACAATCCAAAACAACATGAAATACAACATAAGAGATCGCGGACTTGTTATAGACAAAGAAAATTAAATAAAAGAGGAACGATCAAATAAATTTTTATTTAAATCTTCCATTATAAAAATTTATATATATAACTAGCTTACCGCCCGGAGCTTCGCCCGCGTGGAGTTCGGTTGTATGCGTTCCAAGAGAACCTTTCAAAAGTGTGGGATAAAACTATTCTATGTTCTTCATCAAAGTCAACTTTGTCTGTACCAAATTTCATTAAAATCAGTTCATTAGTTTAGGCGTGAAAGTTTAACAGACAGACAGACAGACAGACAGAGTTACTTTTTCATTTATAATATTAGTAGGGATTATTTATGTTTGTTTCAAAGATATAACATTTTTTTGTGACAAATTCTTATAGTATAGGAATTGTAAATTAATTTAAGCTCAAATTTTAAATATATTTTAGAATTAATAGTTCATTTAAAAAAATTCTTTAGAAACAAAAATAAAATTTATTAGGCGTAATTAAAAGGTATTTAATATGAGCATGCCAGTTCATACTCGACGCAACCCTCTCACATGCGTGCCACAGATTGCACGCGAAAAAATCTAAAGAAATTAAATTTTTGAACATGCCTTAAAAAATATTATATAAGCAACGCTTTTATACAAATGCCAGTGTAGTGACTTCGCTTGTTAGGGATTATGTGCATTATATAGGTAGGAGGTAGGATAGTATAAGTTAGTTTTATTTATTGTTGATTGTTTTCACCAGATATCCACTGAAATCCCTGATGTGCTGGTAAGCCTGGCCTCTGACAGTGGCCAGTGGAGCCGCCAGTTGCTACAGACGCTGGTAGACATACTGACATCGATGGTCGATGGAATACTTGAAACGCTTAAGGGCGACGCCCAAGACGTATTCAGAGATAAATACGCGGACGTGGTGAGTGATTTGCATCTAATAACTTTTGGAATTATTTTAAACAAAACAGATTTCTTTCTATAGTATTGGAAAATTATAACCACATAGTATTTGATTTGACTATTTCAAGCTTTCCGTACTTCTGTCTAATCAAATTGGTTGAAGGTTCGACTCCTATTGACAAGAAATAATATTTGCTCAGACCAGTGACATTTTTGGTACTAATTTATAATTATGAGTATTATAATATTAAGTTATTCTAAATCACATTTCTGTTTGTAAAAGCCCTATAAAGCTTAAATACTACTCTTGGCTAAATTAACCATACCTACGATTTTTCGAAATTGCGTTCACTCTATACTTTTTCACTCTTTTTTCGCTAGGCTTATGACGCTTAATATCGGCAGTCACTTAAGTTCTATTAGGATTTTTTAAACTATATATTTAACTAAGTAAATATACATATTTTTATTTTGTTTGTATTACAAAGACTAGATATTAAATAAATATCTTTCCTTATTCTAACTATAAATTTAGATAATGCAAAGACTAAATGTTATTTAAATATGAATATAATGAAATTTTTAATACCTGAAAATATTAAGATTACTTTCAGAGTTAGATTATTTAGATAAGCTTGAACAGACAGGGGCGGGCAGGCACATTTTTGTACAATTTGTTTCTTTGACACGTATATGTTATCTATTCCAAAATATAATAAATAATACAATGACAACAAAACATTTGATACAACATACATCCAGAGTTTTAATATGGTTTTTCCAATATAGTTCACTTATCCTGTTCTATGTAATAAACCTGACGCTGAAATTGCCTTAATGAAAAGGAATTTAATACTCGCTCTACGATTCTCATGAAGTTGCTTTGAAATTGAACTGAACTATGACGCTTCTGATCCTTTGACTCTGGCACAAAAACCGTCAGCGATCGGAAACCTCTGAAACGAAGGTAGATTGCACAAAGGGAATTAAAGTTCACTGTACATTTCCCGTACCCGCCTAGTCAGGCAGAGGCGTATTCGCAAACGTCTTTGCGAATAGTGCAAAAGGTTCAAGAGATATTAAATAACTTAAAATTATTCAAATAAGATTTTTTATTTAAATAGGAATATTTATTCGAATCTATAAAATAAACACAATGATTAGTAGATGAATTAGAATACTAAGTCTTAGAAATTTGAGCATTTACATTAAATCTAAATATATAATTGTGAGCTGCTTATTTCATAATTATGTCTATGCCATAAAAATAAATTTAATTCCTTATATGTTTCTGTTTGCAATTCTACATAATAGTTTTTATATGTTGAGATATTATCCTATAATTAATATTAGTAACCCTATGAGCGGGTCACGTAAGTTAATATGATGACGTTATATTAAATTAATTAAAGCAACGGACAATAAGAGGCTTATAAAATCTCTTTGTGCATAATGGACAAATTGACAATCTTGTTTCGCAACATGTCGCTAATGATTATTGGTACGTAGGGAAGATGTTTATACATGAGTGGTTGCATTCAGCTTGAACGTTATGATATATAAGATATGCTGATATTCAATTGCATAATATCGATTGGTACACTAATTAAGCTACAGTATTAAAGGAAGAAAAGCGTAACTGTTCCCGTATTCTACCTGTCTTTGTGCTTTGTATTTCCTCGAAGCGATATTATTTGTAACATTTTATTGGCATCTGATATATTTAATTAACGCCGTCGACGTTAATTAACAGAACGTATAAATATGTATAACAAGGTCTGAACATTTCGAATATTAATTATAATAAAGCGTATCGTACGAAAGGCGTTGCACGTTGCAAAACAATAAGTAATTATAGCGAGGAACGTTAAATAGTCTGACAACTGTCCCAAGCAGCTCTTATTTCATTGGAAATCCGACAAAGGTTCTTAGAGTTAGGTACATAAAATGTAACCTGTTATGTCGTCTTAGAAAATGTTATGCAGAATACATTGATACAGTATATTTTATCAATAGATGGTATTTATACATATAATATAGTGTGTATGTTGATAGGATCAAATGTTTGATGGCTGCGAATAGAGTTATTTTCGTAAAAGAAAATGTTGATATAGGTACTTCCTTTGTGTTAAAAAATATAAAATTTTTATACATGATTATAAATGCACATAATATGTTTTTTAATGTTTTTTTCTTTCTTTTTCGATAACGAAAGGTTAGTGAACTTGTGATTAGTTACAAATAAAATTTCTTGTCAGACATCAAACTACTATTGTATAGAAAAGATGAAATTGAATTTTTTGATATATTTTGGTAATTTTTTTAGGTATTAGGTATATTCCTTTTTTAGGAAATTCAAGCTGATTTGCATTGCATATAGTTGTTCTGAAACAGCAACTCGTATAGAATATTCAAATTAAATTAAAGAAACCCTAACCAGGTCTATACTCAATGGATAACTCTTTGGAAGCTGTGGTCGGAAGTTTGTTACATATAAACATGATACCGTAGCGTATCGTGACGTTATAGTTATCGGAAGCAATATGAATCCGCGACCTAAAATTCGTAAACATTTGTAATTCTACACATCAACAGTATTGAGTAATTGAATTTAAGTAACAATTTAGAAATATGCATTCACATATAAGTAAAAATGTATATTTGGGAAAATAAAAAATAATTTCTCATCTCTATTCAACGTTTTTGCATTTCACTCTCGACGTTCGCTGGTAATTTCATTGGCGATGACACCCAACATTCCTGTCATTTCAAATAACCCTTATTGGTTTAATGCAAAGTGTAAAATGAAAAGTGTGGTCCTCAAAAGCTTTCATGTTAATGGGTTACTATTATATGCATATAATATCGCACTCTTGTTGTGAGGTTTATTTTGGTAGGAATAAAATTTTGGAAGCGCGAAATGATATCGGCGTAACAGGATGAGACTAGTAAATTTAATTAGTCTTTTCTGCACGTTAGGTTAAACAGCAGAACATTATTTTCTTTGTTTTATATGTTCATGTTATATACTGCTTTGAATTCTAAAATTTATGTTAGAATCAAATAAAAGCTGTTTAGATAAGTAAGTGGATGTTCGGAAGCAATACTTGAGAAAAGGAAGAATTCGATCCGAAAGAAAATCATATACATATAATATTTTATTTAAAAATCCCTCTGAAGTTGAAATAAAAAGTAGAGTTATTATATATCTGTATATATTTTACTGTTTTTAATTAAGTTAATGCAGAATGTGCAGTTTGACAATATTAATGTCTGCTTGCAAAGTTATAATAAAAATCTGTTCGCCATTTTGTGGTTTTATATTGAAATATGAATAAATGGTATACATAGCTAGCTATATGTATCTGTGAAAACCTAACGATTTCCGGCGTTGCACCGCGCGTCAGTCGTTCCTTCGGCTTTAATGAAGGCAGACCTGTGCAATATATTCAGGGAGGCTAGCGTCTCAACAAGTAATTGTCTTTTATTTTAGAGCTTTCATTTTAAATGTGGAATTAGTATACGAACAAATAAAAAAAATTAAAATTAAAAATAAATTAATTAAAGTTATTTATATTTTCTAAAAATATATTTTTTTAACAAGATACTGTGCCTGGAGAGGCACATGGCGACCCGCGGCTGCGGTCACCTGCAGCTAACACCATGGCGGACCCGGAACGTATGCGTTTCGGACACACCACACGTCCCCATGAGGAAGGTTGGCCTCCTCAACCTCGGCAACACATGCTACATGAACAGCGTGATGCAAGCTTTGCTTGTCACCAGGCAGTGAGTACTAGCTCTGTTCATTTTTGGCTTTTTTTGTCCATTATTATACACCGCTTTTTTTTTGTGTTACTTGTTTATTTTTTCTTGTTTCATGATTCTTTGTAATTCCTATCCTTTAAGACTGATTAGGCCTTATTTGGTTTAGGCATTTTTTGTTAATTAAACTGCAATATCGTTAATTCTATTGCATGATTTTTAATCTTTATAATGATTTTTATTCTTTTTTATAGAAAGTTTAAATTATACAGAAGCATTATTATTATTTAGAAAAATTAAGCGGGTAGGACATCATTTGGAGTTATTATTAAAATCTTTTCGATATTCACATGATACTACTTACTGCACAAAATATAACAAAGTAGTATTTTTTATAAATATATTTCATATTCTTAATTCATCTACTTTGACGTACATAGTAATGAGACTTGAGTAATATTTATCCAGCGGTCTTTTCTTTTGTTTACATCGTTGTTGAACATAAAAAAGACTATGGTTGCTTGGTTATTGATGAGACACATTAAAATTAAATATATTTTAGGATTTAATAATATATTAATAATATACTGTCATAAGTTAGCAATAATCTCAATATTATTTAAATTTCCTGGATCTGAGTCGCCTTATTTGAAAATTATGAAATAATTTCATAAAAATATTTACTCAAAATTCACTAGAATTTAATAGTGAACATTTTTATTGAATATCTATTGGGTTTTTAGTTTCGCTTGAAACATATCTATGATCAGATTATGCTAGCTAGTTTACGAGTAATAATATATACGAGCCCGTTAGACAGTACATTGGAGATAGGTTTAAAATTGTACACATCAAAGTACACATCATGGTAATGTTACTAATATAAAATAGACGATGAAATATTAGGGGATGTCATACCGTTGTATTAATTGATGTACATTAAAACCTCGATGTCGACATGTTCACGTTATAAATTCATGTGAATATTGATAGGTCGACGGCGCTTTATTAATCGTATTCAATGACATCGATGTACTTTTAATTAAAAGGATTTACATTCGTTGAATCAAAGTGCATACATGATTAACTCTTAAGCTCTCTTTGATATGTAAATAATGTTAAACTTCATTGGAAATAGATTAATGTTCCATAATCTTCTCAAACGCTGCTCGGAATCAAGAGCAATATGCCATGTAGTCTATTAAAGGGAAATTATATTTTGGAGCTTGATTGCTTTGCGACACAAAGGACTTTGATATCCAATGGGTTTTATATTCCCTGTCATCCACATGTGCATAGCAGGTAGGGTGCATTGAAACTATAATTATTAGTTCCAATATTAGGTCGAAGCTGTTTTCTTAGAAAATGCGGAATAATTCAGGATTTCCCTGAGATTTATAATGAAAAAACATAATCAAATGTAGAGTTCGGAAATCAAACAATCATCCGAATCTCTTCAAAAATGCTAGCGAGTACTGTGTGCTAACATAATCCTAAAGGAATTCCTCGAAATGCCCATGCAATGCGAACGGTTTTACTATGGCTTTCACAATTTCTGGTGAAATATTATTTTTAATATAGAGATATTTGTTTGACGTGTGTTTGGAATTTGTTCCAGGCTTCGTAATTCTGCGAAATTTCTCTGATATAAGTTTCAGGGTAAAAAAATTGCTTTGCGTTTTTTTTGCGAATGCTTTATATGATTTTTTATTTTTATTTATTCAGTGTATTTATTTGACTTTTTTACTGAAGTAAAACCTTTTGTTTAAGTGTTTTAACATATATCTTTTTTAACTTTGTGTCTTCCAGAGAAAGTTTTAGCAAAAAATAATTAAACTGCCATAGTTACATTTTGGTCAACAACAGCCATTTTTTTTTAATAACGCCTATAGTTTTTCGTCTTAAAGAAGGCTGATAAGATTTAAAAAAAAAAATACAGAAGTAAGAACATTTATACATTGCCTACTTAGTTTTTTAACTACCTTAGTTAAAAAAAAAAACCATTTCTGATAAATTTCAAATTAGATTTCTCTTCTCTATAAATGTTAATCGTACATATATACCCTAAAAATCCAAAAAAAATGATTCCCTATAAACAAAAATACCACTAAAATTTTAAAGTGACAGATTTTAATATTATTAGTAAGAAATACTATCACGGTACGAAAATTAATAACCTCGAGTAAGCTAATAAATAATTATGAAAAACAATTTCAATATTACGTCGTAGTTTTATACAGGAAAGTCGAGAGCACATTTTAAGCTCGCTTGATGAAAAATCTTTCATTAAATATAAATTCATAAAAATATAAGCTCGGGTATTTAGCGAAAAATATTTTTCTTTGAGAAGAAAATGAAAACCTAGAAGTCCTTTATAATTAAATATGCATCTTAAAATGTAGTCTTAATATTCTTTATTTAAATAACTAAGACTCATGTAATACTTCTATATTATATATTTCTAGTATTTTAAAAATTAGTTCTTGAAATATTCTAACAAATTATGGTCTAAGACTTTCAACACAAAAGAGAGCTTTATTTGAGCAAATCGTTTTTATATTCTCACTACGAGTCATATAAATGGGCTGTCATCAATACAACTCAATAAAGCTTCGACGCTCAGGTTCAGTTATAGATTTTACATTCTAAAATATTACAAATAATACATTTCAATGCATTTGCTATTTGCTATTGGTTTCTCATACATTAATTGCAATGGTCCTACAGATACCTGTTAGAGAGATTCGTTTTGTGTCTCTGACTGTGACAGAAACCAATATGTATGATGCTTCCAATCGCATGCACATAGAGATTTAAATTACGTACCTGTTAGTATACGGCTCACCGAATTCATATAACCAGTTTTATGGAACTTTGATGATTGAAATATAATAGATTTTATATTTTTTATGTTCGTATGTTTTTCCATTGAATTTATTAGATACCGATCTAAGAGTTTTTATGCAATAATACACATAATTAGTATCGTAAAGTGACCGATGGAGTTTTTAAAATACATCTAATTTATTAAAAATAAAATGATAAACCTATTTATATTCGCTATTTAAAAATAAACGTCTTTTGAATAAAATTGCAGAAATGGAAATGTCTTTGGAATTCAGTTATAGACATTCTCGGAAAAAGCTTTGACGTCAACGCTTTTCTCATAATTTCCAGCTAGGAGTTTAAAATAAATTTGTTAATATAATTTTACTTTTCTTAACCCATTACTTATGGTTTTAGTGATGTAATGTTTTTGTGTCGGAAAAGAAATGAATCAAATAGAATAATATTTGTGGGCTCAGTGTTATAATTTTTATAAATTTGGATTAAATATATCTTTTTATTTCCGTTTGACTTTGATAAATTTAATTTGTACAAAATGAATCTCTAAAAATACACTAGTTAGACGTTCCTCTCGCCGCAAATGAATATCCTTTTTTTATATGAATGAATAACGAGATAAATAAGTTATTTCACGGAAGTATAAAAACTCGACTTTTTCTGTCTCCATCTGGATATTAAAATGAAACATGTTTAGAGTTATTGAAACACTCATTTTCTGTTTTCATTAAGCTTATGTTTGCCTACATCCAATGCATTAAAGGATTCAGTGCATAGCAACGACTTATTTACTTTAATGTCATTAAGCATTCCGTACCGCCGCTGGAAGGCTTTGTATTTTAAACAGAAATGTTTGAAAATGCAGATTCCTTTTAAATCTCCGACTAACATGCATTATTAAGCTATTGAGTGCAGGGTTCACACATAATTGAATAAAATTCGACAGATGTGGTAAATGACACGATGTTTATTTTTTCAGATAGTGTTAAAAGAAGCTCTTTAATATAATACTCTCTTGTCATAGGTTCAGTACGCATGTGATGCTAAAGATGACAGCCGTGCCCTATTGGGCTAAAATGAGCATACTGTTCTCAAAGATGATGCACTCCGTATCAACCAAGCTTAACCCGGACGAGTTCTTCAGTGTTGTGAAGCCACCGTTTTTTACGATGGACAACCAGCACGATAGTTCCGAGTTTCTCGGGTAAGTATTTATTATATTGATTTCATTACATGTGTTTTTGATATTCACAGAGAATTATTTACAAGAAAGCAACGATAATAGAACTCGCTACCATGTTTTGACGTAATTAATACTAAGCGTGAAATATTATTCTGCTTGAATTTGCCTCTAATTTGTTACGTGCCGTTTTCGTAATTAGGCTCTGGGAAATGTGTAATGCACTAAAACAATAGATAAGTTAACCAACCGGTAGCGTCAACTATGGTCTGTATTAAGTGACGTCATAGATAACACAATCGGAAGATAAAGACCCTGATGTACCTTCATGAAATTTTCGGATAAATTATAGTCTTATTCTGATATCCACGTTACACTTCTATAAAGTTTTATCAAAATTCATTAAATAGTTTTGGAAACATTCATAAAACAAACATTCATAAATCCATACATACATATATTATAATATTAGTAGGATATGTCCAAGCTGAGTTTTCAAGTTTTAGTGGTCTCAAGTTTAAGTAATGATTTAAAGTTTCATTCAATGGGTCTGCTGTCTGAATGCTTCCGTCCGCGTGTCCGACTTCTCTTTGGTTCACAAGGATATTTATTTCAAAGAAACCTTATTTTTCCCAGCTTTCAAAGTTTCTTGAAATACGAACTAAAGAAAATAATATCTTTTTTTCTTCTACTTTTCCATCAACTTTTTCTTAAAGCCCTTCAAATTATGCTTCAACTTTATCCATTACTATTTTCCTTTAACGACTCAATAGTTTTAATTTAATTTTTTGTGAACTATATAATTTTAAAGCCAACTTAAGCATAATGAGAGATTAGAAATTTATTTAAAAGTGGTTTTCATAAAGAAAACATTAATGTTCATTCAAATTACCACTATAACAATCTAAATTATATACACATTTTTTGTTTACATATTTTTCTTTTATCGAAAACTTCACTTTTGATTTCTATAAAAAAATATAAAGGCTTGCGGAGACCGAGTATCTAACGAAGTTTACAGGAACGAGGTGAAAAGGCAATGTTTCCGCCTTCTACCCACGCCGCGCCGGGTTTCTACTTATCAAACGATTGTTCGTTTTTCAAATAACTTTATGAATAAAAATTATACGTCTCGGGTTTTTGACTGTATTTAACGCTGTTCTTTTTAGGTTTTACATACTAAAAACCCTATTCAAGTATTTCTATACTAATTTTTTTTTATTAAAAATACATTTATATGTACATAATAAATAGAAGTACAGGCGGCGTTAATAAACTTTTCCAATTTTGCTTGTGCATCTCATAATAAATACAAGTTTTAATACCCCTGAAAATGTATCAATCCATTTCCAATATTTAATAATAGAATGCTGAAATGAGTGAATGTATTTTTTTAATCTTTTCTGCTTCAAAAACAAACCTTTGTGTGCTTTTAAAAATAAAAAAAACAGGCTCTTTGCGTAGTGCTGGCTGATGGAGCGGATTAATACCGGACGACAAAAATAAAAAGTATTTTATATAATTTTGATATTGCACTTTGATGATTAATATTTTTTTGTCATCGAATTTTATAACATGTATGGATTAAAGTGAATGATATAAATGATTTTGTAGTGTATAGAGTTTATGATTAGACACATAAATAATTACAACTTCTGAAATAAATACTAGAGAAATTTTGTTTCTTTTCTGTGGGACTCGTCTTCAATCTTACTGCTCTAACTCAATATTATACATGTCGACATAGTTAGTTACACATTTTTTTTGATATTAGTAAGAATATGTTTTGATATTCTATATAAACATTTTATCATTTTTAAATATGAATATAGTCATAGATTTTTTTTATGTTCGTAGGATTAAACTCTCAATATGAAAAAACAATTATATTTAATTTGAAGTAAAATATAATCCACTATTCTGCTTTTATATATTATTCTGATGTAACATAAAAAAAAATATTGAAATGAAATTTAATATGTTCATATAATCGGATTACAAAAAAGTTCGTTTTTAAAGAGCTCGCCGATTCAATATTATGTCCAGAGAATTTTCATTTTTACAAATATATTTTTAATATTTTTAGTAATGGTTTAAAAAATTGCTTGTAGAAATTTAATACATTTTGTACGTTTACATTTCCTTTGATAAATATATTATAAATTATTAATTAGTCACTTTAATGGATAAAATGATTTTGATACTAAAATATCTTTGTTTCGTAGGAACTTGCGAATTATTGTTAGTATCTATTTCGAGAAATCGTTACAAAACTTTGGATTTTTTTCTTCAAATCCCTTCGTAGTTTTACCGTTAAGAAATTTTCAGATGATACATTCTTAATAAATATTTTTTTATATAAAACTCGTTTGCTTCATTCAAGTTGTGTTTTTCATCACCATCGCCGAATCTTGTTGTTTCTCTTTTATAGTATTTGATACTATCTGGTACTTTCTATCTGGTATCGAATTTAATGAAAAGCAACATTTCGTGGAGAGTGAAATAAAATGTAAAAACAATCTGTTTTTCATACCAACGAGAAAAAAAAACAAATTCATTACTTGGTAGCTCTAAAAGTTTTGGTCTCTATTGATTTTCAGACTTTCAGAATGATTTATCAGTTCACAGAATTCAATAAACTGGACGTTCAAATTTATATCCCGTACAAATAACCTGGAAAACAAATTCACATATATGAAGTTTCATTTGGAACATGTTGTTTTTTGTTTATTAAACCCTTTTACGGTAGCCTTAGTTATGTAATATATGTATATTGAAAATCCAATAGAATCATTTCACAGATTAAATAATTTTTCTAGGAAGTAATTTCCTACTATTCATGGCGGCATATTAATTGACAATATTAAATGTTGATTTCATATTAATGATAAGATATTTCCTTAGTTATGCAAGTTGACATATAGCTTAGGTCCGGAGTCTAATTTCGGACCGGAGTCTAATTTCGACCTCATAACTGATTTATAGGAATTTCTTTAAATACACCGCAAATGGCAGAGTTGACCAGTACTCATTTTTTCTTTTATTAAACACAACGTACACAAATTTTGCAACTGAGTTGAAACGACTGGTGAAACTTTCCTGTTTTTATACAAATAACTTCTACAAAAAATAGAACTGAATCCCTAAAAATGGAGTTAAAAGTTTTGCTTCCACTGACGTTGTTTGAATAGAACAAATTTTTAATTACGTTCCTAAACCTATGATAACATTGTGTGTTAAAGCTTTGTTAACTAACATTAGTTAGGAACACTAACTGTCTAAGGGAACTAACAATTTAGTTTTAAGCTTCTTACTCACTAGTTGTGAACTTCAGCCGTTCATTTTAGAATAAATCAATATTTCATAGATAGAATGCATAACGTGCCGTCTACATGTACGATAATGACCCTGTATGTAATCTGAGAACGTTGTTCATATTATTATTTGAATGAAACTCATCAACCAGCAAAATAAACGCTGATAAACTGAAATTCATACTTTTGTTGTTGCTCATAACATTTAGTTTTGTTATTTTTATGACGATAACGTTTCAATGAAGAGCCTATTGGATATGTTAATATTTTATATGGCGCTAATTGTTTTTGACAATTTCGATTATTTTTCAAGGGAATTAAAATGGTTGATTGTAATGGTTATTTTGTTGGATACGGTTTGACATATCAAGAAAGTTATAAAATAAAATATTCACAATATTTAATTCTATTATTAATTCTAATATTAATTTGAAGAAGATTATAATTAAATTTGTTTTGGATAATGTCACATTTTGTAAAATAACAAATAAAAGCTATGTACATATATGGCAAACTGTTAAATATACAGGTAATCCTCTTACACAGTTTGGTAGTACTAAAATATTTCTAGACCGTACTATTGCTGTTCCACCTATACAAGTATTCCTAAGCCTCTTGGATGTTAACGTGGGCAGATTAGTTCGAACCATTGTTTTAGTTTGTTTGCAGTTCCGTAGTGCTTTCAAATTTTGTCTGCACAAACACAAACAGCTTTACGCTTCACACTGTATTTAAAGTTTTCATACTCTATGTACCAATCCTAGTGGAAACGCTTGTATGTTTTCTCCATTATATTAAATTATTGCTTATATTTTGTATAAAATAATATACATTTATATAAACATTTTGATATAGGAGATATAGAATTGCATATCTGTAGTTAACGATGCAATCTTTATTTAGAAACATACAATCTGGCTGTAAATATCGAACCCACGTATGTAACTGTAAATGTAACTTTTCACTCTTAAACAATTTGAGTTCTTGTTTGTCGCTTTATTATAATTATATACTAAACAAATAATGTGTAAAGATACGAGTCTTTAAAGCAATATGGAATAAATTATATTTAAGTTGTAGATGTTTGTTACATCTTGCAGACATAATGCAATATACCAGAGACCCCGTTCGTACACTTATTAAGCGGAAGGAGGCGGCGTCTGTAATAGTTATTTCAGGCTTCCCTGCTACTCGATCGATCTCGTCTGATAGTGTTCATTGCGTTGATTTAACTTCATAGACTTTTCTTATCTACTCTTTTAATTTAAATGTGCCTTATTAAAACATATATATTTTTTTATATACTGTAAAATTTAAATTCTCTAATTTTTAAATTAAAATTGTGTTAAAATTTTTTTTGTTGAATATGTAATGAAATAGAGGAAAATAACTATAAACATTTGGCAGGTATAATTTTACTTACTTTGTATAATTTTATTTGAACTTTATAGCAATGTTCAGCTGATACTGAATTAATATTTAAATTAAGAATATAGAATGATTCGGGCCGACAATCTCTGAATATCGTGTTCCATTTGATTTTTTAATTAAACTATATATATAGTATCCTTATTCATGTTGCCGAATTAAATATTCTGTACCGTCATACTGGGAGTGAACTTATCCGTCTATTAGGTTTCCTTAAGGATTTTAATTTTATATGGGGAAGACATGACATTACCTTAACTGATACGGTTTGTATAATTTTTTTATACCACCCATTTCAGATACCTTTTCGAATTGCTGCAATCATATGAACACTGCTCGGACAAGAACTTTGATTATACGCGCCCTGCCGTTCTGAACGGTGCAAGCCGCCTGCGCATGTTACATCCACACGGACAGACACATACCTCACAATCAAGGTACGGCGGAATTATGCTTAAGTTGTACCTTAACTTGAAGTTTTTTACGGTAGTTTCTATTTTTTTTAATAACCTATTAAAAATATTACTGTGTTCATAGAAAATTGTATTTGGTAAATCGAAAACAGTTACAATGTCTATTCAAAAGTAGTATAGCCGTTTTTGAAAATCTTGAGAAACGAAAGGACGAATAATTCAATAGTATAGTAAAAAATAATAAATCATTAAATATAAGATTGGAAATACCTATTTATAATTTAATGATTTATTATAGTGATGAACGCCCCGGAACAAGTCAATCTCGTCGCTCTCTATCACCAAGACCTGGTAGCAGCGCTGCTGGTAAATATATAATCTTTATAAAATCGTGTGCCTAAATATACAGTTGTAAAATTTGATAACTAACTCCATTAAAATCTACAGGGAGTAGTTCTGGATCCTCGCAATCTTTGAAGCGTCCATCCACTGACAATCAGAATCCAACTCCGAAAAAACGTTTGAGATTGACCGAAGCAACGTTTTTACGACGGGATTCGTTTATAGACAGTATGTTTGGAGGAGTGCTCCTAACACGAGTTGAGTGCTCTGTCTGCCATGCTACTTTCCTCTCGCGAGATGTCTTCAGAGACCTGCAACTGGCCTTCCCCGAAAAAACTGAAGGATGTCAGCACAGTGTACAAAGCCTCTTAGAATTCTACTGCTCTAAGGAACGAATGTCAGGAGACAATCAATATGAATGCCGAGACTGTGGTGGACTACGTGATGCTGAGAGGAGCGTCCTCATTGAAACGACGCCCAAGTACCTCATTTTAGTTTTGAAGAACTTCAAGTAAGTTTTTGATTTAAATAAGAAAATCCACTGCAACTAAGCTATTGTTTTGCTCTCTCCTAATCGAAACCTGTTAAGGTTTGAGTAACTCATCGTTTTTTTTTTTTATTATAGCTTAAGATAAACATTTAAAACAGTTAAATTAAAAATATATTTGTTTAAGGCAGCTAAAATATTCCCTTACTCGAATCTAACTCGATGTTTCTCTCTAGGTTTGACTCCAAGCTGCAAACTCAGACCAAGCTCATGCACACCGTGTACCATAATCACACCGTGACTTTACCCACGGTCCGTACACAGCCAGTCCACCCTGTATATAATTTGTTTGCTGCGGTTATACATGCGGGAACTACTCTCGACTCCGGTCATTATTTCACTTTAGCCAAGGACAATGACCAATGGCACAAGTTCAACGACGATGAAGTTAGTTTCGCCGATGAGAATCTCTTAAACGGCCTGAGTCGCTCTAGCACTCCGTACATACTTTTTTATCGTAGAACTGATGTTGAAGAGGGCGCAGCACCATCTCTAGAGGAACTACCTCCCAAACTACAGGAATCAGTCCTCTCACATAATAAGAACTATGTAGAGACCGTACGACAGATCCGTCACAATCGTCCCTGACAGTTAAGGTCCGACAAGCACATCGATTTCTCGGTGTTGGACTATGTCGAGGAGGAAGAGTCATCTTCTAAATAAATTATGTAAATATTTTTCGTAGTTGGTGATAAAAGACAATGTACAATGGTGAATGTGAAAATAGAGTTATGAATTTAAAAATCGTTAGTGGCACCTCCGTGCAAATATTAAGAGGAAATATATTTTTAAAAAGTTTTTATAATCACTGATTAAAATATTTAAGTTCTTTAATAAGTTATTGGTTGTCTTGTAAAATAACATAATAATGTATTGTTTAGTAACATATGTATATTAATGTACATATTGTTGTATAAAGTTTGTTATTCGATAATTGGCCAGTTACATGATTTAACGATTTCGTACAATGTAATGTCAAAATAATTGCTAAATAACCTTAATAAATCGCTTTATTGAAACCGACTTTTTAAGTTTACCAAGATATGAGCTAGTATTTTAAATCATGTACTCGTATTGTCCAAACAGTTTTTAATAAAATATCGTCAATGTATAAAATGAATGCATGGAACTTTAAACTATGCAAAGTAATAGACTCATTCATAAACTAAAGAGGTGTCGAGGTGTGTTAATCGTTTTTACTTGCTTGTACATGTACATACGTAACTCTAGATTTACTGATGATGGAACTTGAAACCATCAAAAATATTATACATTTTCACAGACTTAAGAGGCATTCTAGTATGTAAATCGTTTTTAACATGCTAAATCATATTCTATGTACAATTGTTTAGGTTTAATCCACAATGGAACAAGAGATGATCTAAAATACTTGGCATTTTCACAGACTATTGAGGCATTTTAGTGTGTATATCTTTTTAACTTCCAAAATTATATATGTACATAGGACTAGGTTTACTCCACGATGGAACAGGAAGCGAATCAACATTTTGGCCACTTTCACAGACTAATGAGGCATCTTAGAGTGTAATTAGTGTTTAACTTAAAAAAATCTAAAATGTACATATTATATCTAGAATTACTCCACGATGGAACAGGAAACGAAGCAAAATTTTGAGCCTTTGCACAGACTATTGAGGCATTCTTATGTGTAAATTTTTTTAACTTGCAAACTATGTACATATATGTATACTTTTTAACAACGGATCCTAGAGTCATGTAATATATTACAAAATTTCAAAGACTAAGAAGGCATTTAAGTGTGTAAAAAAATATTTTTACTTGATTTACATACCGCGCTCTTTAAAAGTTAGTTGAAAAGAATACCATATTAAATGAGAGGAAAATAAAATAAACCGGAAATAGTGAAGTCTTCAAAAAGTACTCATTAAAATATGAGTAATTTATAATATTTGTATCAAGGAAAAAAACACAGGAACTTCAATAATTGAATCGAATTTCTGGTAAAATTATTAGAGTTGTCAATTTTTAACGTCCATTAATTACTCTGTAGAATTGCATGAAGTCATATTGGAATTATTTATACAAAATTTGTAATGTTTGACCGGTATAGGTAGTCGAAAATAATATTGTAACTTTTAGTATGTATCCTTGGTCCGGATGTTTCTTGTTCGTCCCCAGATTTTAAATGGGTAGACTAACGTTTCATGATATTAAAGTTGATTCATTTTCAATATATGGTTAAGATTCCCTAGCTTCATTTGTACACATCATTGTATTGATGGGACTTTAAAATCTAATCTAACCAATTTGTTTCTGCAGTCTGTTTTATATTCCAATGAGGAATATAACAACTCTGCTACAATTTTATCTGCAATTTTATCTCTGCTACAATTTTAACTTCAATGATTTTAAGTATTCCTAAACTCTGCTAAAACGAAATAACACCCCTCAAACCGTCATACTTTCACTGTGACGGGCACTGATCATTGTTTCCGGGCTAAAGACTACCCTCTTATATTTGCTTATCGTATTGATTTGCGAACGAAGTCTCAAAGTTAGTTCATTATGGATTGACGAGGTCCCAGCTCCCAGATTCCTGTAATTTTTCATTGATATCTTGGACTAAAATTTGGTGATTTTAAACTGTCCTAACAATAACAATAAATTAGTTTAATAGTTTTAAAAAAGTGTTCGAACTTATTACAAATAACACGACAATTATTATGACTAGTTAATTTCAAATGACTTTTGGAGGGCTCAGTATGTATTTGTTTTAGGTTAACTGATTAAATTTAAAACCATTCAAAATATTGGATCCTTTCAAGTACTAAAGAGGTACTTAGGCGTGTAAATCGTTTTTAACATGCTAAATCATATATGTACATATGTCTAGGTTTACTGCATAAAGGAACATGAAATGAATAAAATTAGTGTACAATTTAACAGACTAAAGAGGCATTCTAGTGTGTATATCTTATTTAACTTGCATGTACATACATATACAGGGTGACTGGTGAATTACTATCAATATTTAAGGAGCATACTCGGTACATGATTCTCATTCGAATTATGTAAAAAAAATAGGCACTTAATTTTTGACAAAATTTCCGTATAAATAAGTAAAGTGTTGACACGTTCCAAGTGTTCAAGTGTGGACGCGTGCGGCGACGTGTTGATACAACACCACGTCACGACCTGCGTATGTGTGAGTGTCAGTGTATACCTAATCTGTAGGGTGTTCACACGATGCGTAATTAATTACATAACTTTTGGTTAACTTTACTAAGAAGTTTATTAATATTTATGTTATATTAATTTTTATTTTGTCATATATGATCGTCAAATATCACGTCCTCAAATATCGATAGTAATTCACCAGTCACCCTGTATATGTGGGTTTACTGATTATGGACCATCTTCTTCCTCTTCCTGGCAATTTCCCGGCTTTAGCCAGGGTCTGCCTTGGTCAGGGCCATATAACGATACAATATATTGAATTTTTTCACAGGCTCAAGAGACAGTCTAGTAACAATATTTATTTAATTTGCATTTATATCTATATGTACATCTAGGTTATGTATATGATTTTAAAACCATTCAATTTATACACACTTACAGACTAAAGAGGCAGCTTAGTGAGTAAATCTAAACGCAATTGTTTCCTGTTAATTATATTAGTATAATTAGGTTGAAACAGATTCTTTGAAATGAAACATAGTTAGATTTTTGTTTAAAAATTACTAAGTCTTGAGGACGTTATAAAAATACTATATAGAAAGAAAATAACATTATAATAGTACATTGAAAGAAAAGAACACAAAGAAAGTTAAATCGAAACTAATTTCAAAGTTTCCAACGCCAACTATAAGCTTAAGTCTGGAATAAATAGAAAACCGCATCTACCCACAAAATATTTCTAAAAAAAGAGGTACTAATTCAAAGCAATCTACAAGACCTTATTTACACTCAAAGAAATGTCTGGGAAACGTATACTTCCTTTATTTTTAATTGATTGACATAATGTGTTTAATAATGAACTTGTTATTTATTATTTTAAAGTAATCTATATATAATTACCTTATTTAGAGTGAATGAAATGCCTAAGAAAATTATGCATGTATTTTTAATTTGTTAAAATAATAGGTTCTTAATACAACACTTGTTATATATTATTTTTTATATGTCAATGTTAATATCTTTTACATTATTTCATACAAATAAATAAGTACTAACTTGTATATACAGTTATCATTTTAGCATTTTAAAGTGTAACTTGGAATGGATTTTATTTAATAACAAAATAGTTTTATGGTGTAAATGATATCAAAAATATTATACTACAGGCGGTAAATTTCTCTTACTAATGGAATTGTTAACGACTTCTTGCATCTTACGTAATTATATTTTTAACTACACTTTGCATCTTACGTAGGTATTGCGTTGATACATAGTTGTTAGTATTTTTTTATTCTTGTCTTAACATTTAAGATTTCTAAGATTTTTCTTTAGGAACAAGTTTTTCAAACAACAACTATAGATTTCACTCAAATCCAATAGAAATTGAGTGAAATTAATTTGTACCGACAAACTTCGTGAATGAATATTTTCTTCAAAATGTTTGTTTTGTAATAAGATTAAATTCATATAACGTTACAAAAATATCAAATAATAATGGAAACTTGTTTTGCTTTTCTTACAGTTTTTATAATTTTTCACCATAGAAAAAAGGGCTGTGTTTATTGAATATTTTTTTTCACTAATAAATGTTTCATTGATAACCCATATTTTTCATTTGTAAATCTTTGCTTACGTTTGATAAGAAATGATTTATTATTAATGAAATTCTATCATTTCATTATGTAGTTAGTTATGAAGTCTATCTGTCATTGCAATGTTGAAAATAAAGTAAATAATAAAATAACTGTCGTATTTTTGTTTATTTTAATTTATATATATTTTTGTTTATAAACAAACAATATATTTAACTTAATTTTAAAACTAAATTATTTATTTACAAACCCACTATTTTGTTTCCTAAATTATTCAACTTTTCAGTAGCTGTTCTTGTTATTGACTTTATAATGGCGCCTGGAATCTGTTGGCAACATTTTGTTATAAATTTAATAAGGATTTTTTTGAAAGTGTCACATTTTTCTAGTGTATGAAAAAGAGAAAAATGTGGTTAAGTCCTTATTTCTAAAGTATAGTAGTAGGATAATTGTAATTGTTGATATTATTATTGCTCACCTCCAGTATAGAATTCAATAAATTCGAGAACTTCTCAGCACCTCCCACTACTGCTCTACCTGCGCTATAAAATTTGTCACCTGAGTTCCCATATTTTTCTTCTTCTCGAATTGTATCGACTATCGGTTTAGGCTGAAATGAGTAAATTTTTAACATTCATATAGTAGCTACACAATTGATACAATACAACAGAATGGCAGATATTTTAACTGTTTCTCGTATTCAAATACCTGTAACAGGCCTGCAACCACATTTTGAGCTGTTTCCTTTACGGACAACACTTTGCTACCATAACCCTCAGTTTCTAATATCGCACTGTTAATTTTTTTATTTGGTGCTCCAAACAGACCAACTGTATGATTCTCGTCTTGCAACTGAAATCGAAGTTAAAAAAACAGTTAGTAGTTTTATTCAGAACTATAATATAAATAATTTCATTCTATTTAGTAATAACAGAATGCACTATGATATTTGATTAATACTATATCTTATTACATGAGTATTCAATGTATATTTAAATTATAATACCGATGAATCTCCATCGTAATATATTTTTGTGTTTATATTTGGTTTAAGGTTTTTCGGAGCCGAATCACTACTTTTCAGATTTTCTCCTGGGTGATTCTCAGGCTCAAAAGGTTGTAACGTGTAAGCATTGGACGCTATTTCAGGCTGATCGTAAACCGGTAAATCGATTCGGATGGGATCATCTAACGGGCGACATAAAACCCCTGATATGCTGATCAAAAAACAAGATGTTAAAAACATTCTGAAACAAATAAGATTATTTAAAGAAGGTTGTATATTTTTCTATAATTCTTATAATCTATGTTGTTATCCATCAGCCAGTAACGTTAATCTTAGTCTATTCCATAATAATCTTTCAAAAACATGTTGAAGTAAAATAATGTAACATAAATTAAAATTTATTATTGTGTACAACATTAACATAATATATATGATGGAGTTTCCCGAAGTGACGAAATGTTTTGGAATCTTGCCTCCAAAACATGCAACTTATATGATTTCTTTATTTGGCTTAGTCTCTGGAGGCGCGGGTATTGCTGGAATAGTGCTTTATGGATTAATTGAGAAGGCAATAACTTCATTTTTTTTAGGGAATTCTAAGCAAAAAATGGACCTCGCCGTGAAAAAGGTGGTACTTTTAACGCTTGGATTGACATCTTTACTATTGTTGGTAGGAAATATACTCTTATTTTTGGGGGCAACCTCAAGTTCTCGTGGTGCATTATCAAGTGGCGTTATGGTGCTTTTAGTGATGTGTCTGATCATTATTTTTGAGGCTATCGGCCTGCCTTTGTTTTGCTTTTTCCACGAACCATTTTGTGTTATAAAAAAACTATCAACAGTTTTAGTGGTCTTTTCAAGCCTTATCATCACAATTTTTCTTGAACTTTGGTTGTACTTTATAACCGTAGCTAACAGTTATTTGGTGCAATTGTAAATTTACTAGCAATTGCGATTAAACCTGACATATATTTCAATAATATGTTCGATTTAAAATACATATACATTTATTTTATATACATTTGATTCAATATTTATAGCGAATAGGCTACAGTTGTAATAAATTATTAAAGAGGTAATTTTGTTTCATTCTTTTTAAATATTAAATAAATAAACTATTTTTTTTTATAAAATTGAACTGTATACTTTTAAAGGTATCCAATATTAAAAACAGCTTTGCCTAAAATTGTATACTTAATAATAATATAAGAATCTCTTGAAACTTCAAACATTATAGTGTCAAATTTAGTATTTTTTGTACTACGTATATACCTATACTTTGATACATATTATGTTAAACAAATTATCTAAATTTAGTGTACCTACCCATGTACAGTCATACGAAAAGAATTATAAAGGTTTAATATAAACTAGCTTTTATTTGATCGCAGAAGTTTTTATGTAGCCTATGTATTATATCATATATAATACATAGGCTACATAAAAACTATATACATTGGCGGCTGAAATATATCTAATCATTATAAATTTTATTGAAATCTATTCAATGGAAATTTTTACAGGTATGGATTTAATCTTTGGAATACAAAGTAGCAAATGCACGTGGCAATAAAAATACAAAATGCAAGTAGAAAACATATACAATATTAAGATCCCCTAATGAGTTTTGATTTTAGGAACATCTCCATTTTCACCACGGCTGTGTGAACTCATATTTATAATCTTTTTACTTTCTTTATGAGTCTAGGTGTCTCGAAATTTGTAACTTTTTAAATCTTACATTTGATTACTCAAGAAGTCAAGAACTTTCTTGTAATTACTATACGAAACGGTTTCTACTTTCAGATCTTACCTATCTATTCAGGAGAAATAAAAAAAATATTGCAAAATGAAGTGTAGTCAAACTGAAAGACACAGAAAAAATAATTAAAAATGATTTTTCTCCGTTCCATTAAGTTTACCTCGGACATATTTAAGACATTAGGCAAAAAAAGAAAGAAAAGTTCGTTTAGAAATGGTATAAATAAATGAAAGCACTTGTGAAAGTGGTTATTGTGAAATGACAGCAACTTTAATTTAAGATTTATTTAATTGCTGGTTGCACACTACTACCAATAAAAGAGACTGTAAACTCAAAAAATTTAAAAATAAAAAACAAAATCTTGATGCTCGTGATGATAAAATTCTTATTTTGCTACGATATACGAAAATATTTCTTAACTCTATGTAATAGAAAAATCAAAATACATATAGATACCTATAATACATTACTGTTGCAAACTTTTTTACTAAAGCTATTTAATTTGTTTAAAATTATGTATGAGATAAAAATTCCACCCATATTCTTTGGTCTGAAAAATTTTCGTCAAATAGTTTTTCTAAAACTGGACTACAGTGTAGTTCGTTTAATACAAGTTAATACCAGTTTAATATAAATTAATTTAAAGAAGTTTGAAGATTCCACACTTGCAAAATTTATCTCCTTATTATCTTAATATAAGTTATATTTAAAAATGGTCTAAAATTAAAAGCATTTAATTTTTTTTAATCAGGTCAATACGTACTTGTTGTACATAACGCATAATTTGTTTAGAAACGCATGTTATTTAATGGATATAATTAAAATGTAACAAAATATGAACAAATATATTCAAATAATAAAATACATTCATATGAATGAAGGAAAATAAAAAACTAATTATGTAATAATTTCAAAACAAATCGCACGTGCAGATATTAAATAACAGCACTCACCTGATGGTACTGTCGGAGGCCGACTAAGTCAGTCAGGTCAGCTGGCTCTGCGCTCACAACACAAGACTTTCACCTCTTACGTCATCGAGCCTTGGCTCTTCTGATGTACTCTATAAGAGGTCCTCCACTGTATGTTAATGAGTACATGTTGCATGCTGGTTTCATAAGCTATTAATGTGACAACATATAAATCTATCATTTACACGGATGCGTAAGTTGAAAGTGAATAAATGCTTTAAAATTATAACGGTCATTAAAAAATTATGGTGCTTTGTCAAAGGCGTTCATAAATTATTTGAAATATCATTTAATGTACTTTTCCTTCGATAGTTAATTTGCAGTTTAATAATGACCTACTTTATTAATTTGATTTAACGACTTTTCTTACGGAGTCATAATTATATAATTAATTTTTATATGCAAGACACCTTACCACACTCATTTTTTAATAACGCTTATCAGATTTGAGGTTTATTTTCTTAAATATTTTTGTTTAAAAAAAAATTACTTTAATTTATTTCAGGTATTGATATTGTTATATTTAAGGTGCAAATTTCTAAATATTTGCGATAAGTGTAGGTATCATCTAAACTTTGCACAGTTGCTTTTTCATAACACCAGTGTAAACGATACGAAAATAGGTAGATATAACGTTCATACTTATACTTATTTTTAAGGAGATCTCTTTTACTTTGTTTTCATATAAGAGGGATGATAATGTTGAGATATAAAATTGACAAAAAAAATAATAGTAGTAGTAATAGCTATAGTAATACCCTAAATGTTGATTTTTTTTATTACTATGGTCATGATTAAGTTATGGGTTGTGAATAATACTTCAAGACGTTGTCCTATACAGTTGCCACCTGGTTTGGTGTAAAAAATTACGGATCTTACCTGTACCATATAACCATTTTTTATATACGGTACCGTTTTATTAGTAGTTAAAGGAGGTCCTTTATGATGCACAACTATTTGGAATGTAATCGTTTTTTACAACTTTATGTCAGTAATTATTTATTGATATGACTTACATATTTGTTTTGATGTTATGGCCTCTGTGTTTTTGATTATGTAATAAATAGTGCAAGTAATTCATATAAGTATGAACTTTCTTGGTGGTGATAAATTGCCACGATGTGGGCAAAAGTGGTGGAGAGGTACCTGTTGTCGGAATTTGAAATTTAATCCATTTTACTTACAGCAACAGGATAATGATGGAAAAATGAAGTCAAAATTATTAATGGTACCACTTAGTTGTCAACCATGCACATCGCGGTTTTCTAATCTATTACTATGGAATCAAATTCGGTTTCAAAAAGATTATCCTAGGCTTCATCGAGACATAAAACATCCAAACTTTGATGCATACAGAAAAGAGAAGTTCAAGGATGTTAGCAAAACCACTTGGCATTCTCAAGATGAAAAATACGGTTACACTTATGTGGTTGGCTTTTTTGGATTACTCGGTGGAATGTATTGCACGAAAACAGAACTTATTCATTTTCTAGTGAGCATGAGTGCTCCAGCTGATGTTCTGGCATTAGCTTCGATCGAAATTGATATAGGAAATATAGCACCAGGTGCCTGTTTATCATATAAGTGGCGAGGAAAGCCACTTTTTGTGAAACATAGAACTGTGGGTGAAATTTCAGCTGAAGCGAAAACTCCTCTTAATTTACTGATAGATCCAGAAACACCAGAGCAGCGCACACAGAAGCCTGAATGGCTTATAGTTATAGGCATATGTACTCATTTAGGTTGTGTTCCTGTTCCGAATTCCGGAGATTGGGCTGGTGGATTCTATTGCCCTTGCCATGGCAGTCACTATGATAACGTTGGTAGAGCTCGAAAAGGTCCAGCTCCTCTAAACTTGGAAGTTCCACCTTACACCTTCCTTTCTGATACACTAGTTCTAGTAGGATAGATTTCTATTGAATATTTTATTAATTATCTAATTATTGTGTTAGGTATTTTTAGCCTATTATATTATGTAGTAAATAAAAGGATAAAACATTTCTTTGTTATTTATTTTTATTTCAAACATAGTTGACACATGCCTAAAATTAAGTCATATTTTCAAAAATCAACAGATATCTGGGATTTTTGATTTTTAGTTGTACAAAAATGTTGCCAGTCTATTTAGGTAATAATTTCATATATAACCACAAAAACAATAAAACCTTTTAAATTAACAAAATATCAAAAGCACATTTACGTTGTCAAAAAAGTATGTTTATTCCTGACGACGATTTGGAAAACATTATCAATATAGCTTCAGAAAAAAGAAACAAAATTTTCTGCTTACTTTATTTTAAACGTTTTGCGTAATAATGTAAAGTCGAATTAAGTAGTCTAGAAATTATTTTTATATATAATTCTAAATACATACTTCTATTTCTTACTTTATCATTTACAAGACAAAATTAGTTTTATAACATCTAAGCCCTTATATGTCTTAAAACATATAAATAAGAAAAGCAAACAAAGTATATTAAATCGATAGTTGTGCATTAATTCAATCACATTTTAATTTAATGACAACTGTTTTAATGAAAATATTGAGAAAAATTTCATTAAATTTTTTTCTAAATTATTTAAATAAATTTAATATTTAAAATAAATTATATCAATTTAAAACCTTAATTTTCTAGTCAACTAGGAAAAACAGCAGTTCGTGAAATTCAAATCATATTCTATGATTAGGAAATGGAATCTCTACTCAAACATTGACTTTCAATACCAATCCAATACTTATATATATATTACTGAAGTGAAGTATTCATTTAATACAGATCCAGTGAAAAAGCTCTACCTTAAGAAAATACTTAGTATTATTGTCAGTGTCATCTGTCAATTGTCATCATTTTCTAACAGCTCTCCTTAATAATACTTAATGTAAATATAAGAATATAAATAATAAAATAAAGTGTTAGTTCTGTCTTTAAAAGGAAACAGCTAAATGCAACTTTTGTACTCTAAGGCTGATATAGAAAATATATACAATTATGTTCATATAAACGCGATTGTAAATTTTGTTGAGTAACTTTAATCATATGCATAGTTTTATGAATATGTTTAAGGAATATATTTAAGAATACACTATAAATTCGTCTATATAAAATGGGTCGGCTTAATAATTCTTTTTGGTGGGGTATATTGTTTGCCTCTTTAACTTGGAGTGTTTCCTTATATTTGTATTGGTTGTTAAATATGAGTGGTAAGTTCAGTTATCACATATATACTTATAAAATATCAATGTGTTGTCGGTTTTGTTCTGACTAGCTATTGACAACTTTGATTACACAATCTTTTGATATACTTTTTAGTTGATTTTCTTTTCTAATACTTGTCTGCATGTAACCTATATTTTAAAAAGAAATATTATATTTATTGGCAATAATTTCATATTTTTACTGCTTGATTTTTGACCTTATATTCGCATTGGCAAATGTATTGTACCTTTTAATTTCTAATAGAATTTTAATCAAATGTCGCATAGCCTATATAGGGTAATGTATAGGGCATTGTAAAAGAATTATGTGTTTTAGTGGCTGAAATGTGTAATTTCTAAATAAGTTTTGTATTAATTAATGTCACTATCTTATTAAAGAATATTTTTCTGTCTGCATGAGATTTAAAGTGTTTATATGTTTTATCTTTTGTTTAAGTCTTTTATATTATTAATTTTACAATTAGCCAAAAGATTATTTAAATAAAAAGAAAATGAATAATCAGATATTAATTTTTACAATTCAAATTAAGTGTACATAAATATTAGTTTTCAGTTTCAGTTGAGAAATTGATGATATATAAGAAGTTGAGTAATGTTAGGTTCCTTCAGAAGACTAGAATCAATGCTATTTTATAGATTATTAATTCACCACAGCAACATTTCATATACATATGTTGTTTAAATAATTTGATACATTATTGTTTTTGATACAGTGATGTACTTATATTGGAGTTAACTGTAAAAAAATCAAGCATTCTTAGTTACTTTTCTAGTATTCATACACCATAGGCAATTTCAGAATAACTTACAAATGTTGAGTGAATACATTAATAGAACTTTTCGATTTTTGAGTAAGAAAGCTTAAATTGCCAGTTTTAAAATAATTTATTTTTTAATGAGAGCATTATTTTAGGTGACAATAATATAAATAGTACAGACAACAGAGTTCAATACCATCTAATTAATAGAGAAGAAAAGGATCGTATAAAAAACAATGACAAATCTATTGCTGCACTGGAGGGCAAAAATCTTTTATTTGATGTTCCTAGCCTGGGTAATGATAAATATATTGGCAAAATGTGGAAGTATTCAAGAGATAGGCCTGATTATATTAGAAAAATGAGGCTTAGGGAGAAATTTACAAAAGAACTTGATAAAGTTGCACAACCAGATAAAAGTTTGGGTCAGTTTTAGACTTTATAGGTTATTAACAAGGAAATATATTTTGCCTTTATTTTATACTAAATTTTTGTTCATAGATTTCGAATTCGGCCTCATACACAATGCTGAAGATGTAAGAATAAGGGAGAAAGGATATAATATGCATGCTTTCAACACATTGATCTCACAGAGAATTGGTAATCACCGAGGATTGCCCGACACAAGAAATAAGTTGTAAGTTTATAATAATTTACTTTAATTTTACTTTTTCAGTGTTTTAATTTATTTTCTTGTTAATTTAATTTCTTCTTTACAGATGTCGGTCACAAAAGTACCCTGATAAATTACCTAAGGCATCTATTATAATTTGTTTCTACAATGAACATTTTGAAACTCTCATGAGATCGGTTCACTCCATACTAGATCGTACAGATCTGAAATATCTGAAGGAGATAATCCTGGTTGATGATTACAGTGACATAGTTGATCTACATGAAGAGGTACAAAAAGCTGTCAATGAGCTAAACAGTAAAGTGAGAAAAGAAGAAGAAATGCTCGAAACAAACAATATAGATGTTGATAACATTGTGGATTATATAAATGATGACAATAATAATGTCCTTGATGGGGTCAGTAAAGACAATGATTCCAATAAATCAAGGAACGGATTGAATATAAGACTTCTACGTACATCTACCAGGGAAGGGCTCATTAGGGCTAGATTGTATGGTGCAGATAATAGCGTTGGAGATGTATGTATAGTGTTAAAGTATGTTGTTTGGAATAAGCTAAATAAGTTATATACATATTAATTTGAACTATATTTGAAGGTGCTAGTATTCCTGGATTCTCATATTGAAGTTAATGTTGATTGGTTGCCACCTCTTCTCACAAGATTAGCAGAAGGTGTTGATGGTGTCAATGTGAGATTTTCTCCCCGAGCTGTCACTCCTATCATAGATGTTATCAATGCTGATACTTTTGAGTACACCTCAAGTCCTTTGGTCAGGGGCGGATTTAACTGGGGATTACACTTCAAATGGGATAATCTGCCTAAAGGGACTCTGAAAGGTAAATAATAATAATTCATGACTAATGCTACGATTTCTTCATATCAGTAAAGAAAAGTTATCCCAATAACCAATATATCCATGATTTTATAGCTGGTCCCACGGGAATTAAATAACTACCAATATTTATGTATATGTACATATGTACCTACATGAAAACAAAAAGTGATCTAAATAAAAGAATCTAGGTAATAAATTTTTAAATATAGCTATTTTTTTAATACAAAAATAAAATTTTTAATAATTGTAAATAAAACAAGCAATTAAAAGTATTTATTATTTATGTAATAATAGGTAATAATTAGCATTAAATGCTAGTTTTATATTGTTCCTTATTGCAAACTTAATAATTTTATCCATAAATTAAGTAATATTTCTTTTTGAATAATTTTCGTTCTAAAAAGCCTTTGTGGGGATGATCTGTCTATGTAAGAAATGTGTTTTTTTTTAAATTTTAGTACATATTCGAATCTTTTCAATCTATCGACAGCTTACTCATATCGAAAGGAAACGCAAATAAAAACATCTTAATTGGCTCAAAACATTCATAAATAAATGCTAACATTTACAAACAAACAATGTCTCCTCAACCAAAACCACAAACTTTACTTTGTTTCTATGCATTGCCCTAATCCTAACAAAAGTGTATCTTGTTTAAGATGATGAAGACTTCATAAAACCTATACGATCTCCGACTATGGCTGGCGGGTTGTTTGCTATTTACAGAGAATATTTTAATAAAATTGGAAAATATGATTCGGGCATGAACCTGTGGGGCGGTGAAAACTTGGAAATATCTTTTAGGGTAAGTTTTATTGAAAGAACAATGTAGTTTTAGTATTTTAAAAGGATTTTTTGGATGAGCGATTAAAATTCATGAAATTGCTTTATGCGAATATGTTGGTTCGCAAGTTTGCGCTGTGCTCAATGAACGTGAAAATCGCTCTCTTTCAAGCCTATTGCACCAACTTTTACACGTGCGGCTTGTGGGCCAAATATACGCTGGTGGGGCTGCCTCGTTACTGAAGCGCATCAGGGATGTTCGCAGACGCTAAAGTGAATTGTTTCTTTACGACTATGCGAAAGAGATGCGCGTCTTTGGTGTGCAGGGTGCGGAGTAGCCCCAATCGCATTTTAAGAATGATTGCTGATCGGTTGGACTGTATATATACGTGAATCGCTGCGGGGCCATATCTCACGGGATGGTACAGTGGTGATTCGCGTATGTGGGGCTCAGCCGATCAGCTAATTTACAAATGAATGAATTAATTATTAATTAATTATAATACCATTTTCAAATTTAATTGTAATTATATTCCTATCACTACGTACTAATAAAGGTATCAAGCCTAATAATATAAACATATTTGTATCATATTGCTTTGATAGTAAAGTTAACATATGGTCCAGTTAGTTATATGTTTAAAATACTTTTAAGGTGATGGTACTTTAAATTGTAGAGGTTATCAGAATGAGTAACAAAAACAAGCAAATCCTTTTCGATTTTCAATCAAGAATGGGAAAGCCTTCCCGCATTCTGTTAATGAAAATTGTATTGACATATCAGATAATGGTAGTAGGTAGTAGTACTTCTACTGATCCATAAGCCATTGAACTTATTAAACACTTTAGTTCAAATATCAATTCCTGTTAATTACAGATTTGGATGTGCGGTGGCGTGTTGGAGCTATGCCCCTGTAGTCGAGTGGGTCACGTGTTTCGTAAGAGACGACCTTACGGCGCCGGTGAGGATTATATGCTGAGGAACTCTATGAGAATGGCTCGCGTATGGATGGATGAATATGTTGTGAGTTTGATCGCCCTCGCTGATTAATAAATATAAAGCATTGTGCACAATTCAGGGTATATACGACCAAAATACATGTCTAGAGATATTGCACTAGCAAATATAGGTGGATTTTTAAATGAGGGTCATTTACATATTTATGTTATATAACCATAACTACCTCAATGTTCTTATTTTAATTAATTTACATGTGTTCTTTATTTCTCCATAAAATAAACTACAATCTGTACAAAAGCAGATTACCCATCCTCGTACTAGCATAATTTTGATAAACATTTTGATGTATTAGTTTCTCTCAACTTGTTAAGATTTTTTGGTTTGTTAGAAGACAAGATTTATACATGAACTAATTCATGAAATACTGTTTTTAATTTCTAGAACAAAGTCATAGAGCAGAATCCGTCAGCGGCCCACGTATCTATCGGTGATATATCGGAGAGAGTTGAGTTGAGGAAGAATCTAAAATGCAATTCATTCAAATGGTACTTAGAGAATGTTTATCCTGAATTGGAGACGGGTGAAGATACCGCAGCGAGGAAGAGGATAGCGGCTCTGAACGACCCCGAGAAGAACAAGTTTCAGCCATGGCATTCTAGGTAATGAAGTTAAATAATGATCTGTTTACATATAATTTAATTTGTTTTTTAATAATGTATTGAATGGTGTAAAATATAAAAGATGTTGAGCACTAAGTCCAATACTACGCAGGACAGGAATAAGTTTGTAATTAAATAACAAAAACGATGTTTACAGGAAAAGAAATTACACCGATTCCTATCAGATACGTTTGAGGAATACTTCATTGTGTATACAAAGCGCTAAAGACATTAAAAGCAAAGGCAGTCCGTTATTGCTTGCTGGTTGTTCAAGAATTTTAAATCAGGTAATTTTATATGTTTAGGTGAATAATTAATAATATTATGTACAAAATCAAGGCTAAGCGATGCTCAAAGTATGGCAATTTTTGTCTATCCACAATGAAAATAATGTTTTCTATTCTGGCGAAAAATCACTGATATTTCACCCTGCTATGTATACCCTGTTTTTTATTATAATGTAATAATAATCATAGCGACTGACTGGCTTGCAACTGTGAAATGCTATACACACACACCTATATATGTTTATGTATGTTGTATAATATATATGCTGTTTCCAGATGTGGTTTGAGACTGATCGTGGTGAGCTTGTCCTTGGTCGTACTTTATGCCTCGACGCTACCACCTCTCCCATCATAGCCAAGTGTCATGAACTGGGCGGCACACAAGAGTGGAAGCATAAGGGATCTGTAAGTATAGAGATTATTTATTGAGACCTAAGAATTACGCGAGTATTCATCTGAATAAAACTAGTATTTTCGGATTGCTACGCGTTTTTTTTTAATTATTTTTAAACCACGTAATCCCAATGTTAAGCTTATTTTGCAGCAGCAATGGAGACATTTGCTTCTCGTCTGCCCGTGATCATGGTTGCTTGCAAAATAACGGAAACGTCAGGAGTGTGCAATTAAAAAACAATAATATAAAAACGCGTTGTAACTTGGAAATATAAAAACTAAACTTAAAAGCTCCAGCTTACATTTATATCACTAAGCTATACTCATCAATTTTAGCACACAAACTGCGTGTAGTTCATGTACCTAACCTTCCAAAGATTAAACAAGAAAATAATTTATCTCATACATTTAACCCATGTAGTATTATGTAATACAATATTAAAGTGTCCTAATACTTCAAAAAATGTTTTACTTTAAAACTTTTTATATGAGTATTTAGAACCACTTCGGTCTTACCAGGGCGTTAATAAATTGTAGCTTTAAATATGCTCCTTATTAATGTTTACATATGTAAGGATATTTCTTTTTTATTCAGAATCTTTCTTCTGACACTTTGAGAGAAAATCTGATGTGTATTTTGATCTACCCAGTACTTAATGCGTAGAAAATATTGATTACTATACCGGTTCGGTGCTAAGAAGCAAGATTTCAGTCTACTGAAGAAGAATATTGAATATAATTTAAAAAACTCTCTGTCTACAGAGGGTTATTTAAATTATATTCAATATTTAGTAAACAAAAAATTAAGTTTGAAAAATGTTTTTGGTTATTATTTATCAAATTATATATAACAGTTTTAAGATCACGATCTTATATTTTAATGAAGTAAATTGAACGACAAAAATAAGAATTATTTTATCGAAACTGTTATCGTGATTGGCAGTAGTGTACTAAGTTCCGAGTTATTAAAGCTTTCTTTCAATTACAAAACTGGTTCCATAAAATGAATACATGTTATATGTAGTTTATATAAAAAGAAAAAACACCGTTATTTTAAATTTATATTTATATTTACATGACTCAAATATGAGGAATTATTTTCAATGGGTAAAACTTACTTGTTCGATATCGGTTATCTGAGTCTAATAAACATACATATATGTAAGTATAAAATCTTCATAGATTTAGGTCGGTGTTGAATGGCTTTGTGAGTAGTAGTAGAAAATGTTGAAGTACAAGGACGTGTTCTATCATCTGATTTATGTAGCATTTGAGATCCTAACGGCCGATTAACAGAGCACATGGCGATAGACGTAGATAACACTCATTTTATATTATAAAAAAAATTGCGCTTATAAATTTATTATAGATTGTATTAAAATTTTTAGGAACTTTTTATAAACGTATTTTATATTATTAAAAAAAGGTTTGTGTGGTTTCGTTGAACTGCGGTTAAAACGGAATATAATATTATTTTGGTAATATCATTAATTAGTCCTTTCAAATAGTTTTTCAAAACGAGACTAAGTTATGCATTGTATAATCAGAAGACGTAGTCCGGACAGGCCAAATTTATCATTCAGACCAGGGAGCTGGGCTTAAATAAAATAAAAAATAAATGCATCGTTACTTTAGAATCATGAGATCCTCGTAAACGATATAAGAAGTTGATAGTTGTTTAAAATATGCTTACATTTTTTTTTAATATTTTTTTTACATAAAAGGTAATTGTTGACCATTCTTAAATCTTATGTTTTACGTTACACTTTTAATTCTTTCATAAAAACTTTTCCAGATGAATGATAAACAAGTAAAAAATATATATTGAAATCGGTCCAGCCGCTCACGCATGATCGCGTGTCAAACTGAAATACAAATTTATTTATGTATAAAGTCTATTATTAATATTGAATAAGCTGTGAAGCTTTTATGCTAGAATATATGAGACTGTCTCTCCAGCTTTGTACTTATCAGTCTATGACGTCACCATTTCAGTCCTTTATAGTTCATCAATACATATTGTTATTTCAGGCTAACAGTCCCATCTACAACATCGCTATGGGTATGTGTCTGGGAGTAGAACGCGCGTACCGCAGCGAACCGATCATGATGGTTATATGTGACAACCAACCAACAAATCAATGGGACTTTGTGAGAACTTAGACATTTACATATTCTCATTACGTCTTAAGAATTATTTGTTTTGTCTTAATATTATTAACATTTTAAAATAGTTTATTTTTATGTTATATTTTGTTGTATTTTATATGCGGTGGTATTGATGTAATATATATTTTTTGTCTTCGTTCATATACAACGTGTCGTAAGATATTGGAATACTTAATAATTATTATAAGTTTATGAGATAAGGGATATGGGATTTTAGAGTATTTAAATTTATCATGCGTATGTTTTTTTTTATACGTTTTTATTCAAATATTTTTAGATAACAACATTAATTTTATGATTGTGATTACGTACATTGTACATATGTTTAGATTAATAAGTTTAAGATCTGTTTTATCAAACTCTTCTTTGAATTAGATGAAAATTAGCGTATTTTATAATGGCCGTCCCTATATGTATATCTTGTACCTTTTCTACCTCTCTTCGTGTATGTATTTCGGCTTAGTTTTTACTTTGATATTATAATTTTAAGTATAACAATTTTATATCTAACTTTTCATTTGTCGCGTCAGATTTGTATCGGGGTTGTACTAGAAACACAGTGGTGCCATACATACATGTTCATAGCACATTACGTAAGAAGTTGTTTTAAAATTTACCGCTCAGTACATACTTTGAGTGTCATCTTAAAACACTCCATATAATGAGTCCTCCGTCTACGTTTGTCCTTAACGATTCGTTTTTGTAACATCGAGGTTTGACATTCTGTATATAAACATTGTAAGAATATTTCGACAATATTTATTTTATATAAAAAATTATATTGTGTAGGTTGTAAGAGAATTTAGAATTTCTAATGCATATACATATTTTGCTATATAGCTATAGATTGTTTCATTAGTTCTATCGTGTTTAAATCCGCTAACGAATTATTTTAACAATATTTTACTATTTCAGATTTTTAAAGCCGTCGAACATAATATGTATATAATATAATATTAGACGTACAATTTGAATTTCATAAAATAATAATAAATTCTCGGTTACAATGAGATTCCATTACATAGGTATTTTTAATTTGTATATTATTATTTATATTAATAAAAAAGCTATTTTTGTTACTAATTCTACTTCTAGGACTTGAATCTCATAATAAAACTATTTTATTTTTCATTTTATGTAATTAAAATCCTGCCCATAACAAGAGCATTGAGCATGACTTAAAATAATACTCCAATTATTGAGTAAAAGAAATATTTTTAGTTCGTCTTTGAAATTTAATAGTTTTAGATATACAACAATAAACAAGAGTACATAGTTCTTTTAATTCATCACTTTTCAACAACAGCAAGGGTATGAGTCTTAAATATTTAAACAGAAGAATCAAGCAATACAAATATGAATACTGTTTTAGGATTTTTTAAGATTATTCTTTTATTTTATTTTTACAATATTTTTTATAAATATTTTTCTAAAGATCTTGTTGGTAGCTCGTTGTTGTGAAAATATTGTATGTTGTGATATTGGTGTTAGCTCTTTAATAAAAAGGTTCATTTGGTATTACTCTTTATTTCAATAATCCCATATAATTTATTTTGAAGGTTTGTTACAAATAAAACAACATTGATGATATGTTAATCAACATTTATTTTAACATTTAAAATTACATAAAAAGGAGGCTTTCCGCCTAAAAGTCTTTGATTATTTATTATGTGCCTACACAGAATTGATTTCATTTATAGAGCAGTTGGTTACAAAATTAATGTACACACGAATTCATAGTAACATCTTTAAATGAAACGACATGCAATTTACACTTAATTTTCAAAGGAATGAAATAGCAAAACATTCCCTATCTTACAATGTAAATTCACGCCTGTTCGGTTAGTGAGCATCACTTACAATACATATGTAGAAAATAATTTAATGACACTTAAAAGGTTACATATCTAATTATTAAAATGTAAGTTAAAGTTGAGGTTCCAATAAATATAACTTCTTATTAATAAAGATTGGAAAAACGAAGACGATATGTATTAAAGGTGATATTGTCATGATTTTGATCATGTTTTAAAATTTGTATACTTCATTTAAACCTACTTCTTCAAAATCAAATTATGTAGCTTAATTTGAAAAACAATAGAAAATAGTTTTGCTTTTGCTATCCGCAAATAATTTTGCTTTAAGTTTTTTTAATGTCTCAAATACTTCCATCAAAAAATCTTTAGGTTACATACGTAAGCTGCTAGTGAGTATTGTCGTTAACAAGAGCTAAGGATACATTGGCTGCTTAATTTGACCATACATTTTGATGTTCCTTTGTTTGTAATTATTTCTGTTCTTGCTTGATCTGATCATGATTTTAATTAAAAGCAGACAATGTATACTCAACAGATGTAGCAGAGCCAAAACACTAAGGTCTTAACAGATTGGTCCCAACACTGTAGAGGCAACACTTAGGCTTAGTACGATCTAGTCCCCTTCAATATCCTTAAAGTCCCCTCTACATTAACTCGCCACAAGTTTTATATGTTATTTCAATTAGTTAAGTATATAATTTTACAACATGATTTTGACACCATAGTGTTTAAGCGGTTCATTTATCAACAGATGTATCCCTTTGCATTTGAAAGCACAAGAATCCACTTAAGCTGCTAAATTAAAATAATACTGATGCAATATTACGTAGCACAAAATTTAAAGATTTGGGTTGTATATGAATATAATTACAATGAATGGTAAATCAGGCTAAGTGAAGTTTAAAAAGGGGAAAAAAAAACATCTTACATATGGAATCATTAAGAACTGGTAAGTAAATACAAAAGCGTGAACAAGCTAAATACAAATTGCACAACGACACAGGAATGATTGAATCGTATCCTTAACATCAGCCACCATACAGCCGACAACCGTTTTTAAACGGCCGGGTACAGTATTATAAGTTATGTTAAATATTTTAACATTCGTTGTACACAACCCACGCATTTAGCTTTTTAATATATTATACATACGACAAGTAATTATATTAATAATAATTAACTCTAACAAATGAAATACAATCTTGCAGGACGTTCCTAATCTAAATATTTCCTAAGCTTACCTGTTTTCTTTTAATTATATGATTATCATAGACAAATAGTTGGATGAGAGCCAGCGTTCAGAGAGGTGCGCGTTTTTATACTACTTGACTGTATAGCAAAGAAAAGCACACGTTACACTGAAATAACATAAGGGCTTGATTGATAATAAAAAATAATATGCCTAAATTGTATACTAATGCTACAAGTTTATTCAGTACCCTACATCGTGAGAGCGAAGCGATTAAATCACTCTGGTAAATGATGTCGTCTTAATCTAAAATTGTTATTAAATAATAAATATATGCTAATCTTAAATAAATTGACATTTTTAAAATATTATATTAATTAATTGCCTATATGGTTTAATTAAAAATAACCTAATGCGATAAATGAAACTTACATACACCATTGTTTAATAAAACTTAACGCCCGTCTGTTCATCTATATTCAGTAGTCCAATTGTGTAGAAAAATTTCGAATTTAAAGATATTGTTAATTTTATGTATAATTTTGTATTGCTAATTTTTGTCATAATTTTACTTTCGTATTTTAACTCAACAAAACCAATTATTATATTGTATATGAATGTGTTTAGATGTTAAATAAAGATAAGTGGTGTATGAAATAAAGAAATAATCTATTCTAGCAAATGTACTTAAATAAATAATATTCATTCTTATTTAATTTTCTCCTATCTAGATCTAGCGTTACTAACATTTTTTTTGTGCTGCGAATACGTCCAATTATAAATTTAAATACTTGTATTTTTTTTGCATGATGCGTATAGGTTAATACTAAAGTGCCCGGCCTCTGCTGAGTACATACTCTCGGTTTGTTCTCATTTCAATTCAATTTATTTGCAGTGTTTTTAGTGGGACATTTATCCGCAGCTTTAGTTTTTGCAGGCCTAGTCAATTGATTAATCTATATTTTTTCGATTTGTTTTTGAAGCTTTAAAAATTAATTTGTGATTAATCTATTATACAATGAGCGTTTAAGTTATTCTTTCATTTACATTTAGTTTTTAATGGCATTTAAAGGTTGTTTTTTGCAATTAAAGATGAAGTATGTTTTAACGGGTATTATTTATGAATAAGTGGCAAATATATTATGTATTGTTTCTGAATTTATGGAGCCAAATGTCTGGTGATAATGCAACGCGACTAAAACGTGGTTTGATTTTGACTAGGCCTTTTTTTATTAATACTACATCTTGACGGCGCACTCTTTTGTGTTGGAAACATTTTTTTATTACAGTCCTGAAAAGGATTAAGATTTTTTTTTAAATACAATTTAATTCTATGGTTTTAAACCTTTTAACAGTTTTACTATTTCTTTATGGTTTGATAGTATATTTTTACTGTGACTTAGTTGTGTTTTATACGCCGTCAATAAAAAAAATCTAAAATATAAATTGCAACTAACTTCATGCAAGGCATATTAATAAAACCTCTGGCAATACGGTTGAGTGTTTTTATATTTCTTTTAATTATTTTTTATTAGAAGAGGTTATAAACTTTATTTAACGGAAAATTTTTGTTTACAATTTATTAATTTAATAATTTTAGGATGAAATATCTGAATGATTAAGTTTTCAGTTATATGAATTTTTTGTTTTATTTATGGCTATGGTTCAATTTTTTTTCTGTGTTCTTCTGTTTCCATTAGCATTTTCTTTATTTTTGTGGTGTGGAATATCACTTTTCTAAAAGTCTTCTTAATATGCCTTCGCATGGAACTAAATTTTCTATCTACGTAAACACAACAAGGAATATAGTAATATAATAATTTTGAATTGCAGGACATTTATCATCAACTGCAACCTTATCTACAATTTTCAAATGGGATTCGTTCATATTTTGCAGCCTAATAAAATAGTGGATCCAAGATTATTGATTTAATAAAAGTATGTGTAAAACGTTTATATGAAGCATTTATGTTATAAGTTTAGTATGGGCAAAATTAAGAAGAAATTAAAAAAAAAAATATGGAATTTTTCCAATGGTAACAGAGATATATGAAAGATGTAGTAGATACTTACTGATAAATTTTTTTTACTCAAGTTTCTTACATGATGTGCATTGCATTTATACTAGAAAGAACGTATTCAACCAAAATAAAATAAAATTGAAAGGCTGCAACATATGAAGAAATATATATTACTATATTCTTTATCGTGTTTAAAACACATATCGTATGATACAACTAATGATGTGTATTGCTTACTCGGAGAATACAACGTATTTCCACTCCGCATCTCATAAAACAATATATATATCTTTATAAAAACAAAAAGAACACCTACACATTTAAAGCGATGAATTTATCTAAATAATTTGGAAGAGTGTTCACCTCTCTATAATGATCTAAGTGGTTTATTCTGAATTCGAAATCATGTTATTAACCAAATTTTCCATTCCCGCTCATTCCATAACTTAATAGTAAGCACACACCTTAACTCCGTTCACTGGCTCTAAAGGTACACCGAAAGGACACATTATTATTTATTAAACTAACTGTTAATTGAAACTCTAAATACCCCGTATTATCGTATTAGTTTCCGTGTGATATAATTGGATTGCATTCCCTAAATCAAGGGTATTGTTTCATACACACGTATCAATGTTAATATCGCCTACTATACGAATACAATACACCCATCGGGATAGTGGTAAATTGGTAGGGGAACATTTATAGATATACGTAAGTACAACATTTAGGTTACTTGACACCAATGTATATAGTAATGTATCCCTATCCTATAACATGATTACTGTATTATTATTAATGAGAAACAAGAATTTTCTATTGGGATTTGAATATATACGAAGAAAACAAGAAGCAAAGGGGGCTTGACAGCCCTAGAGGCATGCTAATCCTCCTGAAGTATACACCCTTAACATTTAAAACAGGTTAAAAAAATAGGAGTTAGATTTGGATATAGATACTATAGAGAGATATGCCGATAAATTGGTGAATTTATATGGGTTTATATATGATAGTTTGTTGAGTTTCCTCAATGTATATGAAGTTTTTTCACATAAATTTCGTAATTTATCGGCACAAAAACTAGGCTGCACTAATGAAATGTACGTTAAAGCAAAATCGACGACTTTGGCAGATGTGAGTACAAACATTATTTATCGTGCATTACAATAGTGTTCCTAGTAAAAGGGGTTGCCAATAAAGGCGGTGATAGTGGAAGATCGTGGGAGCGCAAGGCAAAGGGCGCTGGGGACAGCGTGAAAATTAACGCAATTTCTATGCGTCTGCCAGTATAGTAGCGTACTTTAAGTATCGCATTTAATATTGTCAGTCGCATCGATATTATCTTATAAAAAAGGCTTTCTTTTGAGTTTGTCATTGAGGATACGTTTCTTTAGTTACTTAATATGCACATGTACATAAAAGTATCCCATGAAACCTATACCTATTAACAACCAAAAGAAAACTATTTCATGTTGTAAAATATCGATATTTATCAGAAACATAATAATTATCGATATTTTAAGAGATGGTTACTAGAATTATAAGTCCAAAGGGGAGAATATCTGTCTACTTGCTAATGCTTCGTCTGATGAACTATATGACTAGACATACTAGTTAGCATAGCAAGTAAACAATATACGGCGTAGCGGCTTTTCGCCAGAAGAATGACTTCTTATATCTAAGATTCAAGTGACTTAATATTTCAATACTGTAATTAATACTGCCCGATTATCCTATCACATTACCTACCTACGCAGTCTGTTCCATATTCCAGAATTTCGCGAAACCTCGGGCTGAAAAGCTGTGTCCTATAGATAATAGTCTAAATCTAAGCCTTAATCCAAGAGAAATATTAAAAGCTCGTACGAAACAGAGTTCGCTTAGTCAGATTAAATAGTATGAAAACTGACAACCTTGGTTGTAGTACACAGACATGGTTATTAATATTATAAACTTTATAGTAAATATATTAAGACATGTTTTCAACGGCGCATGGGTGGTTTGTAGCCGTGGGTCATCTGGTCAAGAAAGCGGTGGAGTTCATGGAAGCGCGGACGTTGCATGGGTTCTCGGCGCCAGCACTCATGCATCAGATCGTAGAGTTCCCGGCGGCAGCGCGGTGGAGGAGCAGCTGGCACTCGAGCATTACGACCGCCTGAACGCCATTCATTAGCATTGGCTACCACCTGGAAGAAACAAATATGACACCGTTCCCTTTATTGTTTAGACACAAGCTTATGTATTGTGAAGATCCTCAAGTACCTGGTCATCGTTCATCTCCTCAAATGGCTTGACCAAACAGTATGTAAGCACTTCCCAAACGGTTACACCAAAGGACCAAACATCGCTGGCTGGTGAGAAGACTCCCTTCAAAGATAAAAAAATATGAGTATTTAAAAAAAACCATGTATAATACGTTTACAAAGTTATTTTACCAATAATAAGCTTTCCCAGGCCATCCATCGCAGTGGGATGCGGGATCCGTCGGCTAAAATATGGTAGTCACCAACAAATTCCTCGCAGAACATGGCGTAATCAGATATTTTAATATGGAGGTCGTCGCTCACCGTTACGTTTCTATGGAATAATAAAAAGAATATGTGTAGAAGCTAAAAACTATTTTTTTAAATAAGTTCTTTTAAAATAGAAAAATAGTTAAGTATCTAATTTTCTGTTAGATTCTTCATATTATTTTAAATATCAATGAATGCCTGAGCTGAGGTTGAATGCTGTATTATGATAATATATGATAATACCTTGCCGCGAGATCCCGGTGTACTAACTCGAACGATTCCAGATACTTCATGCCGCTGGCTATTTGACAGCATATGTGAATCAAACTCGAATAACTGAAGAAAAAAAATGAATTAGTAAGTAGTTAGGGGTCTAGTGAATTCAGTGTGATGATACATACTTCAATCTCCGTTCCATTTTCAGTATCGTCGGGAGAGGGACAGCGTCTCCGCGGTCGAGTGCCGCGCATGGGGGTTCTAGAAGGCTCAATCCAAGCACACGTGCGAGCTGTGGATGTTTCAGGCCCGCACCCCATGTAGCTTCGCGGGCAAACGCCGCTCTAATAAAAATATATATATAAGTATATCAACCAATACCAACCTTATTTTTAGCAAAAGTTACCCTAATATTGTTATCTATTATTCATATTTTCAATATGAGAAAGATCTTTTACCTGACATCTTTATTTGAAAAATAATAAAGCAATGTTTATTACGTACTTGATATCGCTATGGCATCCGCGCCATAATGTCTTGACGACAACAAGGCGGCGGCGATGGCCAATCGGTGTATCTTCGTCGTTCAATTCTTCGATGCCGTCCGTCTCGCAAATCTGGAGCTGCGATACAAATTTTGTATTTGTATTGTTTCTAAATCACACTGCATTATTTATACGTTAGACCTTCGAGAAATTCATATTTATTAATAGCCACGTAAACATTTATTAGAATATGATGTATAATTTTATATTTTAGTAATAATAGAGGAGTTTTACGTGTTCCAATATCTTTCATATTTCTTGAGGAGCAAAGTCAAGTGTTATTAACGATTCTATTCAAAATCATCCTGCTTAAATTAATAATAACCTAATATTATAACAATTAGTCATCATTTAAAGTGTTTCAAATTAATGAATGTATTTGTTTTTTATATGGATAATATTTTCTAATAATAATAATCTATGAATTATTTTCAAGAAGATGGAACTTCTTAAGTGAAATAGGTAATATGAATAACATAATTTAAAATGAACCTTTAATTGAATGTATATGAACCTCTTTAGAGAACAAGTGAAACAAACTACATAATTGTAAAAAAGGTTCATTTAGAATTACTTTAAAATAAGACTAAGTTAAAGGAACTAACTAAAAGATACTAAGCGCGCGTTTAAAATTATTATAAAAGGATTTAAAAATTTACATTCTTATTTCACGGCACGGAGGGAAGTTCTTCAGGAAATAGTTCTTAAGCACGTAAATAGTGAGCTGAAGGTAGTGAATTTCTTGTATATTTCACAAAAGCCTACTTTGGCCCAGTTTCTAAGTTTACCAAGCGTGCAAAATGGCTTAACGTCTAACAGATTTACAAAACTTAAGAAAAACTTGTTTGGTATAATCTAGGTGCCCCACTTTAAAAAGGGGGTGGGCGAGCACGTGCCTTTAAAGATACATATTTTCTATTGGCTTTAACATACCTTATCCGGCAACCTGCAGTGGGGTGAAAATATTATAATGTAAAGGTCCACTTTTACCCCCGAGTAACTTAATACTTTCCAGTATTATAGGGTACCAAAGATAAAACGATAGGGTAGTTATTATTCTCTTCACATTGATCCTTTTGAAAGGGTACGCGTGTAAATTCATTATTATTTTTGATAATTTTAACATTTAGGGTGCTTGGCTGTAGTGTTATTTAATGTTTATACTTTAAATTGTTACGAATTATGATTTTCAATAATAAATTATTTTATGTGGTTGAATTTGATTTAAATCTGCAAGATCTCTGTCTGTCCGTCGGTGGCTCTAAGCAAGGTTAATATATTATGTCGGTTGGAGGTCATCACAAAAATATATTTAAGATAACCTGTTAATAATACTAAAGAATATTTTCCTGATGGGCCTGATTTTTTTGTACTGTTCTGTTAAAAAAGATTTTTCACCCAGTTTTATTTATGATTTCAATACATTTTTTATTTTTTCTATTCCCATGAAACATAATTAATTTACTATCAATAATGCCACATCATAGTTACAAACCCTATATCTCATTAACTTTTTACATTCTTTTCAGGAAGAAATAAACATTTTCTCATTTTCACGAACATTAAGAGGCTTAAGGTTTTATCCAAATAGGTCTTGTGATTTATTATTTCATTTTACCGCACTTCACCCACTACTCCATAATAAAGTTGTTGTATTTACTTAGAAGATAACAGTAACTTATCTTAGAGATTACTTTAATCGAAGTAATATGTAATTATTTTTAAGCGGTTCGCTGTTCAAAACTACATTCACAAACCCTTAACGGCATTTAGACTATGAACATTTAAGAGCAACATGGTTTTCGCAAACCACATGTGTTTAACATCAAACGCGTGGGTGTACAATTTAAATGAACATACTTCTCGTTTAATTTAAACGTTTAAAATATTTGGCGATCGGTAAATAATTACCATTGTTGACGCTAATTAATTCTACCGAATCAATTAGTTAAAATGATATGCGATGATGCGGTTTGCAGATGTCACATTTCTATATGTCTGTTGTGGCGCTGATACCTTTTGCTTTTCAATTTTAGTAGGTATATTATTTATTTTAACAAAAGAATCTGAAGTCCTATCGATTTATAGTTTTTACACATCCTCCTAGAGTTTGGCTTATGCTATTGAATATTTAGATTCGTTTATTTTTTTGCTTTTTAAAATACTATCTATGTACATATCTGAATATATTATTATATGTTACTTTTAATATATGTCTATGAATAATTTTTAAGTTGAAAGCTTTCAAGCAGGGCCAAGCTTAATCATTAATATATAAATGTCTGAAATATTAGAAGCGCCGATATGAAAAATTATAAAATTTTAACCTTAGTCTCTTTTATAGCGCCATAAAAGTCATAAACCACTAATTATTTTTTAAGAGTGGCTAACAAATATTAGATACATCGTAAATAATATGCTAAAAGTACAAAAATAAACGGCGCGGCTATTAAGGCGTCAAGGGGGCGAGCTCTGGGTGGTGGGTGAACGGTAAGTGTGAGCAGATTGCATTTTCTTGCTACGGCGAGTAATCAATTTTTATGAGCATTTTTGTAGCCCCGTGTTAACCCCCCCCTTCTCCCTCAGCAAGGGCGATGTGCAAACTTGCCCTCCCTCTGCCCCTCGCGACACGCAGTGGCGCAAACGAACTGCCCTCCACAATAATTACCTCACGGGAATCGACTAGACAAATTTAATTTAGGCCTATGAAATTTTATTTAATTGAAGTTCAGATAAAAAAATGGATTTTATTTGTATTTTATAAGTAGTTTCATATAAAAATTTCTTGTAGCCCCTTGTTTGTACGAATGGGTAGCATTTGATTGTACGTTTTTTGATGTTGCTTAAAACCTTTTAATTATTAAGTTTTGGAGTATAATTTGTCGTTTACAAGAAAAAAAATAAAGGTATCTCCGTTGGTAATCTCTTTTTAAAAAAGATATACGGTTATACCCTTAATGTTAATAATTCCAAAATATTTGCTGCTCTGATGTCGTTACTGATATTACCTTATAAAGATATTTTTATTCTGAAACTTCGTCAATATACAGTGTAATCATGTTCTTGTGACATTATTAAGAGGCTAAAATATTAACCTCAAAAAGTTCTTGTTTATTATATTTTTATAAAGATATGTGTATGTATATCTTCATTACAATAAATTTTTATAGGTGTATTGATTTCACATTATGAACCATGGGGCAGTAACAAGGGAATTATTAACTGCATAAAATGGGCTTTACAAATATGACATTGTCAATATTTATCAATATAATCTATTTGAGCTCTTCGATGGGAGTTTCTGGATAGTTCATTGCGATTTATCGACAAAGTTGGTGCTATAAAATAAGAATATTAACCAATAAATAACAACGTTGTATTACGCTTTTACATGAACGAGTTTTTAGTATTGCTCTAATTATAAAATAACATACTTTTAATTTTAAAAACCCGTGTTAAAACACGACGTATAAAACTATCAGAATAATGAAGGCCTATAAAACTTTATGAGCTCTGTGATTTAATCAATCAGTCCAGTAATGGGATACGCTCATTAAATATCCTTTACTGATTGTATATTAAGGATAAATATGTAGAAGTCTGTTCCCATATACGAGATAATTATTTGTATTATTGCTCTTAATTAATCGACGGACACGAGAATTGTGAATTGTTGCGATCTCATCCCCTCGTTCGTCGACACTATACATATATATGTATATGTATGCGTGTAGAATCAAATATGTATATCATTAAAACTAGTTACAGAATGAACTCTAAATCAAGAGCAGTAAGGCAGATGTATCGTAAATCTTAGATAATAGAGGGCTACACTAGCAATAATGGAAGTAATATAGCTTTTGAAAATCATTATTACACCGAGGGCAGGTGTATCAAGCACGACGTATTATACATATATATTTTTATAACGTAAACACATTCGAATCTTTCCTTTTCATGTTTTTAGGGTTTTTAAATTACATTTGACTTAATTTTATGCAAGAAGATTATTTGTTTTTCGTAAAATGAATATTTTGTACATAGTTTAAATTAAAAAATATTATCGTACGAAAACTCTAATGAATCAAATTAAACATAGATAGAGTAATGCATATATAATTGTCAGTGTATCGTCAATGTTTTTCTTAACTACGTCTTATCAAATTATTAATATTATGTCGCTTGCAGCCCGCCCAAACAAAAATACATGTTTTTGTTGTGTTTTCATTATATAGGGAGTATAAGTGATAAACTTAACAACCTTTTTTCTATGGTGAATTTAAGCGAAAGAATTTTAATGCTTTAATATTTATATATTCTACCTCTTTGTTTTATTGGGAAGTTATTAAGAAGTATATATTTTTGACAGCATCTTTATTTTGTATATAACACCCAAATGGGTTCAAAAAATATTGAAAAAATAAAATTGTGCAACATAAAATAATGGAAGACTTTTTCAAAAATCTCAAGGAGAGATTTTCCATCGATAACGTTGTTACTTTTATGAAAGAAGGTTAGTAAAATCTTATAAAATAATAGTTTGAAATTCTTTTGTGCCGGGTATTTCAGTTAAAAATATATTTAAATGTTTAAAACTTTACTCTGACTTTTATAGCAAAACTCGTTGACGAAGATAAAGTAGAAGAACCAGTGCCTGAACCAGTAGTTGAGAATATCGTGCCAGAAAACATCACAATCGTCGATGAAACACAAAAGAATGTTAACGAGGAACCTAATTTAAAAACAGTTATCGATGGTGACGTGCCCACAATCCTAAACGAAGTATTATCAAAATCTAAACACAATATTACTGATATTCCGGATCAGTCGACTATTAATATACTACAAAAACCTAGTTCGACTGACGAGAAACCTGTTCCAGAGCCTGAGCCACCAAATACAAACAATCAACAAGGACGGATGACAAAAACAACCGAAATCTCATTATTTTTTTAATTCTCCAACGTAACTTCTAGTATTGAAAAGAGCATATCCATCCCGTGGGAACTTTTATTCACAGTTCAGAAACAAAATTACGTTTGTATTGAAGTTGCTACTTAGACGATATTGGATTGGAGCTTTAAACATGCAAGTGTACTTACAGTGCCATGTTGTCCCTCGCCTAGGAAAGTAACCGGTCGCATGCGCCCCCGCGGGAAATCCAGCAGGGGCGCCACTCCGTTTGGGGGCTCGGCTTCAGGTAGTTTAATGGACGTGAAGAGTCCTGGGGCAGGACGTTCGCGTCTTAGAGTTCGCTCGTCGGGATAAGTCTGTGGTTCAAAGGTTTAATTAGCGTACTTGTCAGATAATTCTAAAACGTTATTCCATCTATTTATGGATATAACTCTGTTAATTTTATATCATAATCATTTTGTAATACACGTATAAAAGAAATAGACGTTTTTCTTTCTAAAATATTTTTATTTGAGAATAAAGGTTAAATTAAAAGCAAGTCTACATCCACATATTGTTATGTATTTATTTTACATGTATATAGTTTATATTGTCATTTAACTAACCCAGGTTGCAGCTTTATGTTACATGGAGCTATTTGAAATACATCGGCTTTAAGGGTTTCCCTCAATCCATAACTCACTGAACATAATGCTTAAAAAATAAACCTACATTAACTTCCATATCATTTATTTATTTAATAAAATTGGGTTTTTACTTGCAACAATAAAATATGTAATTTATTTGTTATTATTATTATACTTTTCAGTATAGTAAGATAGATTTATAATACCATTTCAAGCTGACAATCTAAATAGGAGAGTGTCTGCGATGATTTAAGGAATTAGGAGTAATTATTTATTTAAGTATAAAACAAAGCATCCTTTACAATAACTATAATAAGTTCAGAATCATTGGAGAAAACATACAAATGCCTTTGTTCGTCGTAAAATTATTACTCTACCCTTGTTGAACAACGGCCGACGTAAGCCTTACAAAGCTATATAGTAAAACATTAACGAAACAGCCGAGGTACAGTAGGTAAGTCGCTCACTAATACCGTCCTTACCCATTTATCATTTTGCAAACAACCGCATAATATCCCTAATGAGTAAAATCCAAGCATACCTTGGGCAATACCATTAATATTACAAACCCCGGCCTTTCCCCTTTTATAGATGCCTACCTTAGCAACGAATGTTAAGCATATTACACATCGTTCAGGAGTAAGGTAGGTATTTAATTTTGTGACTACCTACTACGTTGAATATTTGTTATAATATTTTTATGATGAATTTAATATTCTCCAACTTTTTTCATATCAGTAAGCTTAGTCACGAAATGCAGCCGGAGTGATATTTAAACTGTTAAATCTTTTGTAACGAAGGTGTTTCTTTTAATAACTTTTTAAAATTAAAATGAAATCCTTACCAGGCGCTTATTTTCCCATCTAAAAATTCAAACAGCCAACTTAAAAGCTTGAAAAGTGAAACGAGTTTAAAGATTAATATTTTGAAATTATTTCGTCTTAAATGCTTCAAGGTCTTTAACTCGATTTAAAAAGATCTTTCCACCGATATTCGACCTCGTGGCATGCAATCCGGCCTATGTGTGTTTAAGTAATTGCATACTTATAAATTATAATTGATTTGGAGGACTTATTTATTAAATTAACAAATAACAGTTTAATCGAGGATTAATTGTCTATATTAATAAGACAATCATGGGATTTGGTTCGTTATTTCCTTGACATAAATATTAATATAACAATAGCACTGTTTTGTTTGAGAACATTTTCCTAGTTAAAATTGGTATGTGCTACGTAACAATCGCCATAGTCACAATTCATTAATTCAACCGAGACAATAAAGCGTGGTAGGGATATTTGGCGACATGTGACATATTCACGCGGCACTCGAGGGTACTTACTGTACCTACGGGCTATGCGTATATTACGTATAATGGAGTATTGTAGAGGTTGAGATGCAATGGTGTTTAATTCCTATTATGTTAAAATGCTATTTCGTACCCGGTAACATGGAGTGTAATACTGCATCTGTCGATTCTCAGCGTGACAAAAGGCCAGTTTGTTTTAAGAGATTTCAGTTACAATTTCGACGATTCCGGTGTTTTGTAGGCTTACAATATTTTAAATATTGAAAATTTAATTCAAGTTCTGTGTCTAAATTATTTTTTGTTGAAACACTTTCACTATTACAACGTTTTGTTTAAAGTTAAATAGAACCTTAAAACAGGTAAAAGGGAAAATCTTAATTATTTAGTATTCCCTAGGAATCTCATTTAGTGCAGTCGCATTTACGCGACCAACAATAATTTCAAAGTATTTCATTTCAAGACCCGGCTCGCTTTTTTGCTAAAAATGAACTTAATAATGACTTAAAGAATACAATTGCTTGCATATTATATTATGAACGTATTGCATATAACTATAATTATAAACGAAATAAATATCGATTGTTCATAAATATGTAATGGTATAACACGTCTAACACGTCAGTATTAAGTATCTTTGCATTTGCAAAGGTTACTCATTTTTAAGATTAGTAATTTTGGTATCGGTTAAAAAAATATAATAAATACATATTAAAAAAAAAACATAGGTAGTTGCAATTTACAGTTAATATTAAACAAAAAAGACCATTTTTATTTTTTGATAAACATTTATACAGTTTAAGATATTTGAAGATACTGCTTCCAAAACAAATATTTGTGAAAACGGAAATGTATTAAATATTTAACGGATTGTTTGTATCAATGTTGATTTTAAATATTTTTGCATGATTTTTTATATCGTATAAATTATATTAAGTGGATCAGCTCGTATATAAAACTGCTGTGTGGACATAAAAGATTAAGTAATACATCTAAGTGAGTCACTTGGGGAATGGGGAGAAAAGTTTCCATAAAATAGTTTATAATAATATCTCCTCTACATCCCTGAATATTTTATGCATGGAGGGAAAGAGAAAGGCAATATGACGTAAACTTACATAGTATATTTTCTAGTATATTCAGCATGGCTTACCCGACTTGATGTATTAAGGCACTCTAAAGGTTTATGTTGCCAATGTTTCCTTTCAAATGTCATAAATAAATCTGTCCGTTTACATTTTCATTTATAATGGAACACTCGACTATTTTGTTAAAATATTAATTGTATTCTAGGAGTTCTGTTAATAAATAATAAAAAATATTACATGATAAAAAGGGATATAAATTATTTATATTGTATATTGCAGTATCGTTTGTAATAATGTAAAAAGGCATGTTAAAAATTAAATAATTAAAAAAATATCTATTACTAGAGTTTCATATTATAATTTCAATTGAAAATTAATTGTTTGTCGGATAATTGGCAGTCCGAGCAAATTCACAATATGTTTGCTATGTACATTGTACTACAGTGTAATTAAAAATTAAGCGCCAACGAGGACCAGGTGTTCTTCAGCAAAATGCATTAATTAAGATCGCTTGGAAAAACCTTGAACAGGCTCTCTAGTGGTACACTAATTACCTTAGTTACGCCATACAGTACTCTACGACGTGGGGAGTCCTTGGCGTTAGTTTGTTTCAAGGTCAAGTAGTGCTGTGTCGCCTTCTGATTTACCGATAGTTTACATACCTAACTATATGACTTAGGTTATTTAAAATTGTGTAATTGATAATAATATAAGCATCATAATAACAAATGCTTGTATTTTACTTGGTTATAGTACTTTCATATGGTAATAGAAGTAGATGATTAGTAAAACATTCTTTTAAGATTGAAACTCAGTATAGAAATTATAAGTATCTATCTTTTATATCTACATGATATTCATTTTTAGTAAGCGGTACACCACTAAGTAGGTAGGTACACGTCACTCGAACTCTCGTGGTCGTTATAAAATACGGATCGCATGGCTCATTCTGAGAAATGGCGGAAGGTCTTCTTGGCACCTGGGGTTCTAAACATGAAGCTACTGGCTTTATTGTTGTTGTTTTCTTGTTTTGTAATATAATTTATTCAGATTAGTATGTTATAATTTAAATATATTCAGATATTTTTTTTAAATATGAAAGAAACGGATAAACAAAATGTAGCTTAATATTTACACCAATATTTAAAAATACATCCCTTGCTTTAGAGTTGCCAATACAGCCTGTAGCAGTTTTAAAATTTAGTACGCTGAGTGGTTATAAACTTTTATGGATCGTTGGTAGCAAATGAGAAATAATTGGGTTTGCTTAAGTCTACCGGGACATTGATTATAGAACAGTACACTTAATCCTATTTCGTTCACAGGAGGATTTAAATTGCAAGTGTTATTTATATATTAGATAACGATGATTAAGTGAGATTTAATTAACTTGAGTGTCTTTATTTCAAGTGGTAACCTTACCATACAAATGTATTTAAGTATAAAATAATAAAAGTGCTGAAAATACTGGTAGGTGACGTTTATTTAGTTTTAACTACATATTTAATTTAAATTCTATTAAAATGGAAAAGTTTATTAGTCTATTCAGCCACAATATTAATTACATCTGTTCAAATTGATCGTTGTGAATTTTATTTTTTTATGAAATATACAATTTCGCTTATAAAATTCGAAAGCTTTCAATGAAAAAAACAAACGAGTTATTTAATTAAAAATAAATACATAAAAACACGCGAAGCACGATTGTATTTTATAGAAAAATATATAACCAAAAAACAACACCAGATATTTAGAAATGAAAGAAATGGGAATCTCATATATTAACCTAGAAAGTCTCACATTGAACTTTATCCTCGGATATTTCTCTCAAGATCTGAATCGTAGGGATAGTTAAGAAGCAAGAAGAATGGACAAGGAAAAGGATAAATTTTTGTAAGTTTTTGTACACTTGGCACAAGTTGTTTGAAAAAAGCCAAATTCGAAAGGGAATTTTAAATGAAAGAGACACTTAAAGATTTCATTTCATCAGCTAGTTGTAATAAAGAAAAACTTAACGAACAACCAACTAGTAGGAATAAAACTTTGCTTCTAAATTCCCGTAAAATGAAACACTTATAAAATTACAACAAAAATACATCATAAAGACAAATAAGAAGTTCAAACGTATACGAAGGTATTTGAAACCGGATGTGGTGAATAACTGATTTATAAAAACGCAAATAATTCGTGGGGAATAGAGTAAATAATAACGTTGCATATAGCAATTGCCACCCGCACCCTAAAACGAACTTACCTCACAAAAGCGTTATACATTTTGGCATACAACGTTAAAACATCTTAATGACATGAAAGTTTGTTAAACTAAACAAAACTCT